AAAGGCGGTCGGGCGTGGTGCTGGCCACCCACCCCCTCGTGTGACGTGCCGGCCTTCATAGGTGCTGCTCGCTAACAGCACTTGCCCCATCAGTCTGTTCAGGCTACACGGGGGATCTTTGTCTTTTTTGTGAGATACTGCGCTGGTGGTGGTGCACAAACAACCACCCCCACCACGCTCCGCGTCATTGGCACCGTGAGCCCTGAGGAGGGCAAGACACAACATAGGCGACGTTTCGGGCAAGGGCCCTTCTTCACAGCAGAGAGACGGGCCAGGCAGATTAAACGAGGTGTGTTTGTTGAACTTCTTTCGTACCGTACGTGGCCAGCCGCGCTAGCCAGAGGTGCTGGGGGAAGGACACCACGCTAAATGATGCCGATATCGAGTGGTGTAAGCTTTTTGTTTTCGTCCCGCTTTCTGTTTGCTGCATTGCTGTAACTTTACTTGATTTGCTTTCGTCGCCATGGCGACCCGGGTCACAATGGCGACCCGGGTCACCATGGCGACCCGGGTCACCATGGCGACCCGAGTCACCATGGCGACCCGAGTCGCTCTCATCCTGTCATCCTGGTCCCTTGCGGTCTCACCTGGTTACACGAAATGTTTTAAACTTTAATAAATAAATAACCCCCCGCGTTGTGTTACCTCGCCAGGTAAGGCGCCACTGAGCGGCGTAGCTCTCTTTCAGAAGCCATCACGGATGGTGGCTCAACGAAGTGGTTTCTCGCGTGGACATTCATAGCGATTCTGAACGTGGAGGTGAAAACCCGGAGGACGTGGAGACAAATCCACGCGACCACGGGCAGAGAGATAGAGACACACGCAGACCCCAAATATACAGCAAGAATCAGGGTCGCGATCGAACCCACGGCCTCCTGTCCACCAGGCGAGGGAGTCAACATCTCGGCCACCTTAGCGCCCCCAACTCCCCCCTCCTGCGTCTTGAGCAGTGCTGTTTGCTGCTGGCCGCTTGGCGTGTGTCCCCCCCCACACACACACCCCCCACCCCCCCACACACACCCCCACACACCCCCCCCCCACACCCCCCCCCCACCCGTACCGGTGCTCGAGTTTGTCGAGGACTTCGATGAGTTGCACGGAGCGCGCTGCCATCGAGTCGGAGCGCTGGAACAGGCGGCAGCAGCCACCACCACCTCCACCACCTCCACCACCACCACCACCTCCACCACCACCACCACCAACTCCACCACCACCACCGCCACCACCTCCACCACCGCCGCCGCCGTTCTCCGCTGCCTCGGCGCTCCGCTCGGCCGGGTTGGGCCGCCGGGGCCCGGGCTGGGCCATGGACGAGGGGCACGAGGAGGAGGAGGAGGACTTTGTCGGAGCTTGAGAGGATCTCCTTGAGGGCTGAGAGAGGCTCCGCCACCCGCCCCGGACTCCTCCGGCGGAGCGGAGGGTCGCGGCTCGCGACTCTCGTGGTGCCACAGAGGGCAGGGGGTGACAGCGGCAGGAGACGAGCGAGATGGAGAGAGAGCGAGATGGAGGCGAGGAGGTTGGAGATGAAGAGGTTGGAGGCAGCTCAAACTAAACTACGACACGAGTTTTATTCTACCAGGCAAGGGCCCCACTGAGCTACTGCTGCGTAACTCTTCTTCAGCAGGGACCAGTCCGTCACAGATGATGGCCCAACGAATTGGCATAATCAGCACGTGGACATGTGCAGCAAGCAGCCAAACACTCTTCACGTGTGCTTCGAGATGAGACGAAACGCCGCAGAGAGAGGGGGATACAGCGGACTGGGGGTGTAAATATAGAGAGCTGGCTGAAGCTATGGAGAGAGAGAGAGAGTCAGAGACGTGGCGACATCCAGAGAGATCCAGAGACGTGGAGAGATCGAGAGGGGTCTGGAGAGAGGGAGATTGTGGAGAGATTTAGGACGTCCCGGTGATGAACTAAAAAAGATCGAACGGGACGTGTCGCTCCGGCGCTGAGCGGAAAATCTGGGCGAGGTTGCGAGGCGCTCCGCGTTGGGCATCGTGGGGGGTGGGGAGGGATCCTGTGCCATGGAACCTTCCACGGCTCCCGAATATGGCTCAGGCCGCACGCTCGCGCCGCGGTCGTAGGGGTCACGGAGGGGTAGGGGTGGTGGGGGTGGGGTAGGGGTGGTGGTGAGGGTGGTATGGGGGGGTGGTGAGGGTGGAGTGGGGGGTGGTGAGGGTGGAGTGGAGGGATGGTGGTGGTGGTGAGGGTAGAGTGGAGGGTGGTGAGGGTGGTGGTGAGGGTGGAGTGGAGGGTGGTGAGGGTGGGTAGGGGTGGTGGTGAGGGTGGAGTGGAGGGCGGTGAGGGTGGTGGAGGTGAGGGTGGAGTGGAGGGTGGTGAGGGTGGAGTGGATGGTGGTGAGGGGTGGTGGTGAGGGTGGAGTGGTGAGGGTGTTGAGGGTGGAGTGGAGGGTGGTGAGGGTGGAGTGGAGGGTGGTGAGGGTGGAGTGGAGGGTGGTGAGGGTGGTGGGGGTGGTGGTGAGGGTGGAGTGGAGGGTGGTGAGGGTGGAGGGAGGGTGGTGAGGGTGGAGTGGATGGTGGTGAGGGTGGAGTGGAGGGTGGTGAGGGTGGAGTGGTGAGTGGTGACGGTGGAGTGGAGGGTGGTGAGGGTGGAGTGGAGGGTGGTGAGGGTGGTGGGGAGGGTGGTGAGGGTGGAGTGGAGGGTGGTGAGGGTGGAGTGGAGGGTGGTGAGGGTGGTGTGGAGGGTGGTGAGGGTAGAGTGGAGGATGGTGAAGGTGGAGTGGTGAGTGGTGAGGGTGGAGTGGAGAGTGGTGAGGGTGGAGTGGGGGGTGGTGAGGGTGGAGTGGAGGGTGGTGAGGGTGGAGTGGGGGGTGGTGAGGGTGGTGGTGGTGAGGGTGGAGTGGAGGGTGGTGAGGGTGGAGGGAGGGGTGGTGAGGGTGGAGTGGAGGGATGGTGGTGGTGGTGAGGGTGGAGTGGAGGGTGGTGAGGGTGGAGTGGAGGGTGGTGAGGGTGGAGTGGAGGGTGGTGAGGGTGGAGTGGGGGGTGGTGAGGGTGGAGTGGAGGGTGGTGAGGGTGGAGTTGAGGGTGGTGAGGGTGGAGTGGTGAGGGTGGAGTGGAGGGATGGAGGTGAGGGGCTGTAGAGGGAAGGGGCTGGCTCTGGAGTGGGTGATGGTGGTGGTGGTGGTTGAGCGGTGTGCAGTAAACATCGCCACTGGGAAGACAAAGGCGGCCGGGCGTGTTGCTGGCCACCCACCGCCATCGTGTGCCGTGCAGTCCTTCATAGGCGCTCCTACTCGCTATCAGCACTTGCCCCTACGGTTTGTTACAGGCTACATGGGGGATCTTTGTTTTTTTTGTTGCCTGGGTCCCACGCGTCGGACACGAGAGAGAAGCTGTCATCTCACCGGGCCTTACCTGCTCAAAGACGACGTCCACTTTGACTGACTTGCTTACCTCTCCATTACCTCGTAATTCGCGCTCCTGTAGTTTGTGTGTTGCTGTTGCTGTTGTCGGTGGTGTAACACGAATCCCGTGCCCCCCCCCCCCCCCCTTACTGGACATCTGAGACAAATAACGAGCCTCTTAGCTCATCGGATTCCCTCCTGCTGCTGCTGCTGCAGTCCAAATCATTTTTTTTAAAAATCGATAAAAGATTCTGATCCCGGCGACTGCTTCCTCGCCCATTCACAAAAAACTAAATCATTCTAAATCTGGGCGCGAGGCATCGGCTATTCCTGGCCGCCTCCCCCCGCCTGTGACACACTCCCTCCATCCCTCCTACTGGACATCTGCTATAAAGAACTTTATAGCTCATCGGATTCCTCCTATTGGAGGCATAAATACTGATTCCGATTCTGACACCTCCAGCCGGAATTTGGGGGTTGGGTGGTGGGGGGCGTGTGAATTCTTCTCCATTGGAATCAACGAATTAATCAGAATCTGAATATGTATGTATCACTGCAGGAGGAATACGATGAGCTATGAAGATCTTTTTGTCACAGATGGTCCCGTGCGGGGCACAGGAAGATGCGACGTCGAGTATTATCTAGAACGCACACACTCACACACACACGCATGTGTGATATCACGGGACCTTTTTAGCCAGTACCAAAGTATGAAAGATAAGAATATATTTTCCCCTTTCTGGAAATAAAACAGGAGGTAAAATGCTCAAACACCAAATAGATGCCTTTTGCAAGGAATCACGTACTGCATTAAACACACGCAGTACTTGCGGGCAACATGCGGAAAAAAACCATGCTCTGATAATGATAAATGGCAGTGTCTTTGAAACTGATTGGCCTACACCAGAGAAAGGAGTGCTACATTTGAGAGAGAGACGAAACGATGTGTCTCCGTGTTTTGTCTCTCTCTCAATTTGCGCACTCTTTGGAAGAACTTTAATCAACCAGGTAGGGTGCTAGCCGACTCTCTGTGTTGTATTGTATTTCTAAGTTTACTAGGTTTGTTTCTCATTCATTCGTACCCAGTGGCGGCTCCTGCAAAATCTCTCAGGGGGGACAAATGTCTGGATGATTGATAAGGATAAGGTCCACCCATGCAATGGATAAATTAACAGCTTAAGCATGTAAAGGCAACTTCACTTCTTTAATATTAATGAAAAATAAAGTGACTCTTACAATACATCTTGTTTGTTTCTATACTCACTATTATTACAATCCACTCAGTTTCTTTTATGAAAGATTCCACTAGGTGGCGACAAATAATATTGTTGACAGAAACGTGCTTACGTATGATGACGTAAGCACGTTAGTGCGAGCCCTTCCGGAAGCCATAGAGAAAAAAAACATCTTTGAATGTAAGTCTATGGGAACACTCTGGGCGATTCTCAGCCGGAGTGAAATCGCCCAAAAAGAGGCGGTACTCCACAGAACATGACATGACGCTGATTGGACTATATCCAGAGGCACAGTAACGGCGAGCGTAACTCTGTGGTTGAATGAAATTGGTGGTGCGTCGCCCAATCGCCCTAATGAAGAAACCGCCCCTGTTCGTACCTGATGATGATTGCTTGTGTTGCAATCGAAACGTCGTGTTCTATTATTTAATTTATCTTCTTTCTGCGTGACTTCACCGAAAGAACCAAAAAATAATTTCTGTAGTTAATGAGTTTAACAATGGGATGAGAGTTAATGAGTTTAACAATGGGATGATAGTTCATTCGTTTAACAATGGTATGAGAGTTAATGAGTTTAACAATGGGATAACCGTTAATGAGTGGAACAATGGGATGGGCGTTAATGAGTTTAACACTGGTATGGGAGTTAATGAGTGGAACAATGGTATGGGAGTTAATGAGTTTAACAATGGTATGGGAGTTAATGAGTTTAACAATGGTATGGGAGTTAATGAGTGGAACAATGGGATAACCGTTAATGAGTGGAACAATGGGATGGGCGTTACTGAGTTTAACAATGGGATAACCGTTAATGAGTGGAACAATGGGATGGGAGTTAATGAATTTAGCAATGGTATGGGAGTTAATGAGTGGAACAATGGGATGGGAGTTACTGAGTTTAACAATGGGATGGGCGCTGAGTTTAACAATGGGATAACCGTTAATGAGTGGAACAATGGGATGGGCGTTAATGAGTTTAACAATGGTATGGGAGTTAATGAGTGGAACAATGGGATAACCGTTGATGAGTTTAACAATGGGATGAGAGTTAATGAGTTTAACAATGATATTTTTGCAAATTAGAAGTTTAGCGCGAGTAGGAATCGATTCTGGAATCACAGACTAAGCCAATCGATGCTCGATGGAATCGATTTTAGTGACGTGCTCTGCGGAAAGCCGCAAGGTCGTAAAGCGCCGTCGTGAATGGGATCTGCGTGGTGCTTTACGGCAGACAGTGGGGTCAGGGGTCACGTCGAACAGCGGCTTCAAGGACGCGAGCTCCGGTGAGCGTGCAGAGCACCCAGCACACTCACCACCCTCACCCTCACTCACCCTCACTCACCCTCACTCACCCTCACTCACTCACCCTCACCACACTGACTCACCCTCACTCACCCTCACACTCACCCTCACTCACACTCATTCACCATCCTCACCCTCACTCACCCTCACTCACTCACCCTCACTCACTCACCCTCACTCACCATCCTCACCCTCACTCACCCTCACACTCACCCTCACTCACTGACTCACCCTCACTCACTCACCCTCACTCACTCACTCACCCTCACTCACCATCCTCACCCTCACTCACTCACCATCCTCACCCTCACCCTCACTCACTCACCCTCACCACGTGTGACTCACTCACCCTCACTCACCATCCTCACACTCACACTCACCCTCACTCACTTACCCTCACCACACTCACTCACCCTCACTCACTCACCATCCTCACCCTCACTCACTCACCCTCACTCACTCACCCTCACCCTCACTCACCTTCACTCACTCACTCACCCTCACTCACTCACCCTCACTCACACTCACTCACCCTCACACTCACCCTCACTCACCATCCTCACCCTCACTCACTCACCCTCACTCACTCACCCTCACTCACTCACCCTCACTCACTCACCCTTACCACACTGACTCACCCTCACCACACTGACTCACCCTCACTCACTCACCCTCACCACACTCACCATCCTCACCCTCACTCACCCTCACTCACTCACCCTCACTCACTCACCCTCACTCACTCACCCTCACTCACTCACCCTCACCACACTGACTCACCCTCACCACACTGACTCACCCTCACTCACTCACCCTCACCACACTGACTCACCCTCACCACACTGACTCACCCCCACCACACTGACTCACACTCACCTCACTCACCCTCACTCACCCTAACCACTCTCACACTCAGCACACACTCACCCTCACACTCACTCACCCTCACTCACTCACACTCACCACTCTCACACTCAGCACACACTCACCCTTACACTCACTCACCCTCACTCACCACTCTCACACTCACTCAGCACACACTCACCACTCACTCACACTCACTTACTCACTCACCCTCACCACACTCACCTCACTCACACTCAGCACACTCACTCACCACTCAGCACACACTCACCCTCACCACTCAGCCTCACCACCATCACACTCACCCTCACCACACTCACCATACTCACAATCACCACACTCAACCTCAGCACACTCACCACCCTCTCACTCAGCACACTCAGCACACCACCCTCACTCACACTCAGCACACTCTCACTCACTCAGCACACACTCACTCACTCAGCACACACTCACCCTCACCACCCTCACACTCACCACCCTCACACTCACCACCCTCACACTCACCACCCTCACACTCACCACCCTCACACTCACCCTCACACTCAGCGCACTCACCACCCTCTCACTCACTCAGCACACTCTCACTCAGCACACACTCACTCACCCTTACCACCCTCACTCACACTCACCACCCTCACACTCACCCTCACTCACCCTCTCACTCACTCAGCACACTCTCACTCACTCAGCACACACTCACCCTTACCACCCTCACTCACACTCACCACCCTCACACTCACCCTCTTCACCCTCACTCACTTACACTTACCATCACCACCCTCACACTCACCCTCACTCACCCTCACCTCACTCACCACACTCACACTCACTCAGCACACTCAGCACACTCTCACCCTCACCACACTCACCACACTCACCATACTCACCATACTCACCCTCCCTCACCACCCTCACTCACACTCACTTACACTTACCATCACCACCCTCTCACTCACCCTCCCCTCACTCACCACCATCTCACTCACTCACACTCAGCACACTCATACTCACCTCACCCACCACTCTCATAATCACCTCACTCACGCTCACCACACTCACCTCACTCACGCTCACCACCCTCACACTCACCTCATTCACCATCACCTCCCTCTCCACACTCACCCTCATCACACTCACCTCACTCATCCTCACCTCACTCACCTTCATCACACTCACCTCTCCCTCACTCACCCACTCTCGCCCTCACCACACTCACCTCACTCACCCTCACCCTTCACACTCAACCTACTCCCCTGACCTCACCCCTCTAACCGCATTCACCCTCACCACACCTCACCTCACCCTCACCACACCTCACCCCTCTCACCTCGCCCTAACCTCAATCACCCGGCCATTCGCCACCAAGTGACGGTGACGTCACCACGGCGCCTGTGCCAGGTCAGGTGCACTTTGAGGCCACGTGAAGTGTCAAAGGCCTCGCTGCCAGGAGGTCTCGGGACAGACTCAGCAGGTGCAATGGGTTGGCTAACCAAGATGACCGGTAGATACACCACCACCAGCTGTAACAACTTGCTGCATTCTATCCGCCCGGCGCTCCGCTCGTTGTTGTGAGCGTCGCTCCTCCGCCCTCCGTTGTTGTTGGAGGGCGACTGCCTCCAACTGCCCAATAGCGTCCTTCACGAGCCTCCTCCACAGAGGCCGATCTTGACACCGCTGGTACCAGTCATTGCCAAGTCCACTCAGCTCCATATCCTCTTGTACCACATCACTCCATCTCTTCTCCATCCCGTGCTATGCGGCCAAACAGAAGCTGCTTGGGCATGCGGTGGCTGGGCATGTGGGCAATATGACCCGGCCAACGCAGCCTTGCCTGCCGGAGGAGCTCACTGATGGGAATGTGTCCAGATCTTTCAAAGATTTGTGAGCTCCTAACACAATCCAGCATGGTTAAACCCATCCATCCCAGGATGGATTGTAGGCATGCCAGCCTGAATGTTTATAACCGGCGCAGATGTTCCATTAGACGGGTCCACGTTTCACAGGCATAGAGAAGGGAGGGAATGACTGTGGCCGAGAAGACCCGAAGCTTCGTGCGGAGCGACAGACCAGGTAGCTTCCACACAGCGTTACGCAGCCGATGAAAAGATAATGCTGCTTGACTGATTCGGAGTGAGACCTCTGCTGTTAAACCGGAACCGGTCATGAGCACACTGCCCAGGTATGGGAAACTCTCCACTCTCTCCACAACTGCTCCGTCACCAATAGGGAGCTGAGGTGGTGGAGTGTTTGGTGGCACAAAATACCCAGGCAGGTGCTTAGTTTTGGTGGGGCTGATGGTAAGGCCCCACCTCTTAGTGACATGCTCCAGCTTCAGCAGCAGCGCCTTCAACTCCTCCTCTGAGTGAGCAGCAATCATCAGATCATCGGCATACATAGCATGGTTAACCAATAGAGAGCCACCCCTCGACCCCAACCGGACATCGATCAGCCCCCCATTGTATCGGTGCCAGATGGTAATTCCTCCGGTACAGCCATGGCAAGCTTCTCGAACTACGTGGTCAAAAATGATGTTAAATAACGTGGTAGCCAGAGGGCATCCCTGGAGCAGCACCCCAAGGTGAACAGGGAGTGGCTCCGACTCCTGGGCCCTCGCACCAGTTTGAAGGCCCTTAATTATGTGTTTGGGGCCGTCCATAAATGACGTCACGCACCTAGAGGGGGGGGGGGGTCAGACATTTGTGACGATGTGTGACCGGGGGGGGGGGGGGGGTTGAGAAATGTGACGTCACATTAAAATGCGCAACTTTAAATAAATATCGACAACACGTTCTACTTACAACATTGGTACCTCATTTGCCAGTCAAAAATATGATAATTGTTTTTTACCCTTTTATCTGGCAACAAAACTGACACCTTTTTTTTACGAGGAGTCATGTTTGTATAGACCACAATACCTGCAGTCATAATGCAAACAAAAAACATAACTCTGATAATGTATGCACTGTCCTTGAAGTTGATTGGTCCACACCCGTGACAGCTTAAGCTGACAGCTTAAGCTGTCTCGGGTATTGTGGTCTGGTATTGTGGTCTATGCAAACATGACTCCTCGTAAAAAAAGGTATCAGTTTTGTTGCCAGATAAAAGGGTAAAAAAACAATTATATTTTTGACTGAAAAATGAGGTACCAATGGTGTAAATTCTTACCCCGAGCTCTCATACTCTGATGGTGCATTGTCTTTGAGTTGTGCGCCTTTTGGCGTCATCTGGTCCAACACCATGTGAGACTAGGCTCTAAGGAAAGCTGTCTCGGGTGTGGACCAATCAACTCCAAGGACAGTGCATACATTATCAGAGTTATGTTTTTTGTTTGCATTATAACTGCAGGTATTGTGGTCTATGCAAACATGACTCCTCGTAAAAAAGGTGTCAGTTTTGTTGCCAGATAAAAGGGTAAAAACCAATTATCACGTTCTACTTAATTAAATTGACGTTTTAATAAATGTTTTCTCCTACAACATCAGAGTGCAGCGCCACATTAAATACGCACTACAATGACAATAGTTTAAAGCGATTTGAAGCGTGTTTATTTTTTTAGGGGGGCGGGCAGAGCTTTGTGACGTCATATTTGAGGGGGGGGGTCTGACTTTTGTGACGCCGTGTGACGAGGGGGGGGGGGGTAAAAAAATCGTCCAAAATCGCGTGACGTCATTTATGGACGACCCCTTTCCACCGTGGTGCTTTGTAGAAAAAAAAAAGTGCCAGGTGGAGGGGTTACCAGCCCCTCACCTCACCACTCTCAACACACTCCACCCTCACCTCGCTCACCTCACCCCACCCCGCATCAATGTTTAATTCTGACGTAGTCCTATTTAGCCAATTGGCCGAGCGAGTTTGCAAGGGGGATCTGTGGTGCTTCTGAAGAAGAGCGACATTGCTCAGTGGGCCTTACCTGGTGAATAAAAAAAACGTAGTTGAGCTGAGAGCAAAATCACAGCGACATTGGAGCGATCCGTGCGGAGGAATCGGCAACAACGGAACAGAACGCGTCAGCGGTGCAGCCAAACATACTCGCCACGACGACGACGATTATGCTTAAAGAACAAAACATTAACAATAGAGCGTGGACACACAGACCAGGCGCAGTGCACCCAGCACGAGAACAACGGGGTAATTCGCGGTCGGAGAGAAGTGGGGAGCGAACACGATCGAGTCAATGAAGCGGCAGACGAAATCATCCCGTCCTCGCCTGACCCTCACCTCACCTCACCCCTCTCATCTCACCCCTCACCTCACCTCCCTCTCACCTCACCCCTCCCCTCACCCCTCTCACCTCACCTCACCCCTCTCACCTCACCTCACCTCCCTCTCACCTCACCTCCCTCTCACCTCACTCACATCTCCCTCACCTCACTCACATCTCCCTCACCACTCTTACGCTCACCTCACTCACCCCTCTCTCACAACCACCCCCTCTCACAAACGTACCAATGTGTTATTATTGGGTCATCAGACGATAAATAGGATGCTGGTACTCGATTGTTCACGTGACAACGGTTTCATCTCTGTTGGCCGTCAGATTGGAGTAGTGTCCAACACGCACTGGCGTTGCACGCGCGCGATACGATCCAAAAAAAAATCAAGCACGAATTGTATCTACAATTCTTGGTTTCACCCTCATTAGGACTCATCAGTACAGCCATTGATGTTGGTTGGCCACGTTATCTCAGTGTCTTGAGTTGGTGGTCGAGAATGGCAACGCAGTTCTGTTGAGGTTGGTGGTCTGCATAAGGCCGACAGCATGTCTTCATGCACTGCTGCACACCTTTGCGTGTTGCTCATTCTGTTTGTGTATTCTCGCTGCACTCAAGGCTCTGCTGTAATTGGTGTTGTCGTCATTCACAGATTTGACTTCGGAGTTCCCTCTGAACCCATCGCTCTCCTGCCTCTCATCATCCTTGCTCGAATCACACCCTCACCTCTCATTCCTTGATCCCTCCAATATCGCTCTCTCTCCTGCCTGCCTCGCACCTTCGCTCTCTCTCACGCTCCACCAAATCCTCGCTCCATCTCCCCTCTCGCCTGCTCCCACGCGAACACTTTGCGCGGGAATAAATGTTTCCATACCTCCGACTAGCACGGGTGGCGACGTGCGGTGCGGAGTAAGTTTATCGTACGTTCATGCACCTCGCTCTTCTCGTCACCCCCTCGATGCATGTCTTGTGGTCTCTCGTTCCTCTGCCCTCCACTCGCATGCGTCAATCAGTCGGCGTCTCATGCTCTCTGTGATGCTCACTCACGCTGCTGGTTCTCTACGACCCCTCCCCACCTCCCAATTGCCAAACTAAATATTCTGGCCTCATGCCGACCTCGGGCAGATGGGGCTACCTGAGCAGTGGGTCACCTGAATAGGGGGAGGGGTCACAAACAGTGGGAGGGGCCACCCAGGTAGTGGGAGGGGCCACCCAGGTAGTGGGAGGGGCCACCCATGCAGTGGGACGTGCTGTGTAAATGTCGGCTGGGCTGCAGTCAGCTACTATTGTTTTCGAGCGGTTCCTCCCAGGGACACGGTTGCGTTCTGCATTCAGTAACCCGACAGCGGTGGCGAGATGTTAACTCCCTCGCCAGGTATGCAGGAGGTGGTGGGTTCGATCCCAACCCTGACGCCTGCTGTATATTTCAAGTTTTCTTGTTCTCTCCCGTGGTCGCTTGGATTTTTCTCCGATTTTTTCCCTCATTTAAAATGAACACGCGTTAAGTATTTGGCTGTTATAAATGTTCACGTTATAGGCCGCAACTTCGTTGAGCTATCAGTTGCTTCTGAAAAAACGAGCCACATAGCTCAGTGGGGCCTTACCTGGTAAGCAAAAATTTTGTTTAATCGCTCTGTGTGCACGTGCAACTGTGACCATCCCCTCGTCATCGCAAGCTTCTGACATTGTGAGCTCGCATCTCTCCCCCTCACGATCTCTGGGCTAGGAAGCCACGATGCCGTTCCTCGACGTGAAGGCGTGGCTGGGCGTGGAGTTTGACCAGCTCTTCACGGTGCGCTCCAAGGACAACATGGCGCGGCGCGCCGGCCGCTGCCACCTCTACGAGCAGGAGGTGATCGACTGCTCGCACGGCCTGGGCACGGTGCGCGCCAGCAGAGAGTGCCAGCACGAGATCGAGGACTACAAGGAGTGCCTGTTCAAGGCCAAGATGGTGGGTGGGCGGCAGGGTGGGTGGCAGGGTGGCAGGGTGGCGACCGCGCGGGCGTGCAAAGCCCGCCCGCTCGTACTCACTCATCTTCTAAAACCTCTTATTCATCTATTTTTCATTATCCATAAGAGGTTTTTTTAGGTTAGACCACGTAAATGTGTCGTTCACTCAACAGCCAATTTAATAAGGTTTGTCACGTAAACAAAACGTGCCGATTAGTTACTAGTTCACACCGGTGTGTTGGAGTAAACCATTGTAGATGTAGTGGGTTTACTCTCAAACACACTGCTGGTGTGTTGGAGTAAACCATTGTAGATGTAGTGGGTTTACTCTCAAACACACTGCTGGTGTGTTGGAGAGTAAACCATTGTAGATGTAGTGGGTTTACTCTCAAACACACTGCTGGTGTGTTGGAGAGTAAACCATTGTAGATGTAGTGGGTTTACTCTCAAACACACTGCTGGTGTGTTGGAGTAAACCATTGTAGATGTAGTGGGTTTACTCTCAAACACACTGCTGGTGTGTTGGAGAGTAAACCATTGTAGATGTAGTGGGTTTACTCTCAAACACACTGCTGGTGTGTTGGAGAGTAAACCATTGTAGATGTAGTGGGTTTACTCTCAAACACACTGGTGGTGTGTTGGAGTAAACCATTGTAGATGTAGTGGGTTTACTCTCAAACACACTGCTGGTGTGTTGGAGAGTAAACCATTGTAGATGTAGTGGGTTTACTCTCAAACACACTGCTGGTGTGTTGGAGTAAACCATTGTAGATGTAGTGGGTTTACTCTCAAACACACTGCTGGTGTGTTGGAGTAAACCATTGTAGATGTAGTGGGTTTACTCTCCAACACACTGCTGGTGTGTTGGAGAGTAAACCATTGTAGATGTAGTGGGTTTACTCTCAAACACACTGCTGGTGTGTTGGAGAGTAAACCATTGTAGATGTAGTGGGTTTACTCTCAAACACACTGCTGGTGTGTTGGAGAGTAAACCATTGTAGATGTAGTGGGTTTACTCTCAAACACACTGCTGGTGTGTTGGAGTAAACCATTGTAGATGTAGTGGGTTTACTCTCAAACACACTGCTGGTGTGTTGGAGAGTAAACCATTGTAGATGTAGTGGGTTTACTCTCAAACACACTGCTGGTGTGTTGGAGAGTAAACCATTGTAGATGTAGTGGGTTTACTCTCAAACACACTGGTGGTGTGTTGGAGTAAACCATTGTAGATGTAGTGGGTTTACTCTCAAACACACTGCTGGTGTGTTGGAGAGTAAACCATTGTAGATGTAGTGGGTTTACTCTCAAACACACTGCTGGTGTGTTGGAGTAAACCATTGTAGATGTAGTGGGTTTACTCTCAAACACACTGCTGGTGTGTTGGAGTAAACCATTGTAGATGTAGTGGGTTTACTCTCCAACACACTGCTGGTGTGTTGGAGAGTAAACCATTGTAGATGTAGTGGGTTTACTCTCAAACACACTGCTGGTGTGTTGGAGAGTAAACCATTGTAGATGTAGTGGGTTTACTCTCCAACACACTGCTGGTGTGTTGGAGAGTAAACCATTGTAGATGTAGTGGGTTTACTCTCAAACACACTGCTGGTGTGTTGGAGAGTAAACCATTGTAGATGTAGTGGGTTTACTCTCAAACACACTGCTGGTGTGTTGGAGAGTAAACCATTGTCGATGTAGTGGGTTTACTCTCAAACACACTGCTGGTGTGTTGGAGTAAACCATTGTAGATGTAGTGGGTTTACTCTCAAACACACTGCTGGTGTGTTGGAGAGTAAACCATTGTAGATGTAGTGGGTTTACTCTCAAACACACTGCTGGTGTGTTGGAGAGTAAACCATTGTAGATGTAGTGGGTTTACTCTCAAACACACTGGTGGTGTGTTGGAGTAAACCATTGTAGATGTAGTGGGTTTACTCTCAAACACACTGCTGGTGTGTTGGAGAGTAAACCATTGTAGATGTAGTGGGTTTACTCTCAAACACACTGCTGGTGTGTTGGAGTAAACCATTGTAGATGTAGTGGGTTTACTCTCAAACACACTGCTGGTGTGTTGGAGTAAACCATTGTAGATGTAGTGGGTTTACTCTCCAACACACTGCTGGTGTGTTGGAGAGTAAACCATTGTAGATGTAGTGGGTTTACTCTCAAACACACTGCTGGTGTGTTGGAGAGTAAACCATTGTAGATGTAGTGGGTTTACTCTCCAACACACTGCTGGTGTGTTGGAGAGTAAACCATTGTCGATGTAGTGGGTTTACTCTCAAACACACTGCTGGTGTGTTGGAGAGTAAACCATTGTAGATGTAGTGGGTTTACTCTCAAACACACTGCTGGTGTGTTGGAGAGTAAACCATTGTCGATGTAGTGGGTTTACTCTCAAACACACTGCTGGTGTGTTGGAGTAAACCATTGTAGATGTAGTGGGTTTACTCTCCAACACACTGGTGGTGTGTTGGAGTAAACCATTGTAGATGTAGTGGGTTTACTCTCAAACACACTGCTGGTGTGTTGGAGTAAACCATTGTAGATGTAGTGGGTTTACTCTCAAACACACTGCTGGTGTGTTGGAGAGTAAACCATTGTAGATGTAGTGGGTTTACTCTCAAACACACTGCTGGTGTGTTGGAGAGTAAACCATTGTAGATGTAGTGGGTTTACTCTCTAACACACCGGTGTGAACAAGGAACGAATTGGGCACATTTTGTCCACATGACAAACCTTGCGATGTGGCTGTCAGGTGCTAGCGGGTTTAACGACACATTCACACGATCTGACCCAAAAATCTCTTAAGGATATTGGTCCCAAAAAGTCGACGTGTTAAACTATTTTTCATTATTTTACCAGTCAAGGCCCAGAAGCGACCTGGTTATCACAATGATAGTTCAACAAAGTAGTGGAAATTTCTTAGCAGCAGCCAAATACTCTTAAACGCGTGACGTTGATTCTAAATGGTGAGGGAAAAACCGGAGAAAAATCCACACAACCACAGGGAGAACATGCAATCTCCAAATATACAGGAGTCAGGGTTGGGATCGAACCCACGACCTCCTGTATACTCAGCGAGGTAGTTAACATCTCCGAGCCACCACAGCTCCCTCTCTCTCTCACCCAACACTCGCCTGCACTCGTCGATTCACTCTCGAAACCTCATGCTGACCCAACTACACTCACTCGCAGTCACTCCCAACAGCCTCACCCACTCAGATCCCCCGTAGTCTTCTACAGACTGTTTGAGCCTAGTGCTGTTAGCGAGCAGCACCTATGAAGGTTGGCACTGTGGCATGAGGGGAGGAGGGGGGGGGCTTGGGTGGCCAGCACCACGCCCGGCCGCCTTTGTCTCCCTCGTACCTCCGATTAGCGGGGTTGGTTTCGTACGGTCCGAAATTAGTTCCACATAACGCAAGCACTCAAAAGAACCACACAGGTGGATGCGCGGACACGTGTTCTGTAGGTCGTCACCCGGTAGGTAACAGCGCATGTCAGTCCAGCAGTGTGTTTTGGGAGTTTCCCCAAATCTCTTAGTGATCCACTGTCTCCTCTCACCCGTGCACACGTGACACGCTTTGCGTCGTTTTCCTTGTGTCGCCTCCAGATCGAGCGGATGAAAGCGATCCTCCAGCAGAGGGATAAGCTGATCCAGGAGGGGAAGTACACCCCCCGGAAATTCTCCGAGGTTGTGGGAAGTCCGTGAAAGAGCGGCACCACCAGGAGACATCGGCCAGGGAAACATCCACTCAAGTCGTGTTCGGTGCTTGCAGCAACTCTCGAATATCCCTCGGTGCTTACAGCAACTCTCGAATATCCCTCGGTGCATTATCTGGCTTGTGGATTGAGGAAAAAATAAAATGCTTCACGTGTTCGCTGGCTTAATAGCCGATCCTCGCTTGTCAAGGGTCGAGCTAAATTAAGATTCCAGAGTAAACCAATTCCTTTAATGAGCAATGCAAAGAGGGCACTCTACGTGGTCACCCCACCTGCCTCCGTTCTACGGAAACAATACATTTGCGAATTTAATATGCACGTCTTGCATTTTCCTTGTTTAATCTGGATCCACCCCTCCACAGCGCCGGATAATGGAATGGTGGTAACTGTCATTTTGTCCTTGGTGAATATATTGGGTGGAATTCTGTGAATTAAACAACTTTCCCTATTTTCCCCGACCTCTCAAGGTGCCTTCTGTTTTTCAAGTTGGTGGCATTAGTTTCAACAATTGGGATGCAGTGGTGGCTAGGACATGTGAACTACCTCACCTGGTAGACGGGAGATCGTGGGTTCGATCCCAACCCTGACGCCTGCTGTATATTTGGAGTTTGCACGTCTCTCTCATTTAGAATCAACACGTGTTTCGAGTAATTGGCTGATGTACATTTCCACATAAGCCAATTTGTTGAGTTATGTGGCCAGTTTGCTTTAAAAAAACTAGCTCAATTGGCCTTTACTTGGTAAAATTTAGTAAGTAGATCCACAGCTTAACACTGTGGTCTTAAAATATATATAGGCAATGTTCTGGGAAATGGCCGGTGATAGCACACAATGTGCCTCATGGGGCCAGTGACCAAATTACATAATTTTTTCTTGTAAGGCAGGATTGTTGACGAGTTCGCTAAACGTACTGGTGCACCACTGAAAACGCAGCATCGCCAAATATTCTGCGTCGTGCCGAGGTTTCCTGGTGCATCCGAAACCTTTAGGCATGCAATCACCGACTCGGCATGGCCGCTGTGGATTCGAACCTCTGCGACAAGCGCTGGCGCTGGCCACGTTAACGCTGGGTCGCGCTGGTCCTGGCCTGCGCTGGCCCTGGCCTGCGCTGGGTCACGCTGGGTCACGCTGGCCTCCGCTGACCACGATGGCACTAGGTCGTGCTACCACCGCTTCAATTGAGTGGACATACAATTCAATATTTTATCATCTGCAGCTTTATCGTGTTCATGAGTCAGTGGGCTGGTAACCAATGTTGACCAATATTCTTGGTTCTGTAGAGACTTTTCTAACGTTCATGGCATTATTATTGGCAATGCATTTTAGCAGTCGCCTGACACTTTACATTATAACGTCCCAACCACCTTGTTTACTGAAATAACACGCATCCTGTACAATAAATCACCATTTTCAACAATGAAGTTTTACTTTTAACCATACTGTTCATCATTTTGCAATATATAATCATTTCATTAAATGGGAAAAAATGCCTTAAGTCTCATACACAGTCTTAACATTTTAACTTACACGTGTCAGCATGCGTCATTATCCTTAACTGTACACAGTACAATTGCCCCCCTACACATGGCATTAAATACACAGCTCACCAACATATGGGCAAAAGTCATACCACTCCAGTACTATCTTAGCCCGAACCACTTAGTACATTACCAGAAAATAGTCTATCCCTAAAGCGTCCTCTCTCTGTAAACTATTCACAATAAGTACAATTGTTAGCACTGCTATTTTAATTGTGTGAAGGTTGTTAAGAGACAAACATGTATCTCATGGGGCTACTGGCCGTTGGAGGATGCAATACATAAAATGTTTTACGTTGTTATATCCGCAAGTGTAGACAGGATTTAGAAACTTGCGCAGTGTCGCTTCCTGCGATTGCTGCCAATCCCAGCGACACAACTCATTCCACATGTTCCACCGCGCACGGCAAAATCCGCCCGCCTCACACGACGTCTGGATTGTGGGCCAACCAGGGCCACGGGCGGGTCCGAGAACGAGTTCACCAAAACGTGACGCGAGTGCACCCCGTCGCAGCCTCGTCGGCGCGTCCGTTCGTCGTGCGTGACGTCAGCGGCACGGTTCAGTTTCTGCAGTGGAAAAGCAACCTGGCACTCGCCTAGCCGCACCCGGGCTGGCTCGGTTGTACCGTCGGAAGAAAACAAAGGCAACAAGCAATGGAAGTGGCCTTTGCCTGGTAGGATGGGGATGGCTTAGATTAATTTCTATGCGTTTGGGCGATTTGTTTACCTTTCTTGTACTTTGCACTACTGTCGTGTTTGTGTACTGTTTGTTGTTGTAACGTTCCTACCCGCCACTACTGGACATCTGTAAAAAAAGAGCTTTATAGCTCATCGAATTCATCCTGCAGTATAAATATTCTGCATCTGGGGGAGGGTCGAGGAACAACGTCCGGTTTCTCAAAGAAGCCGCGAACGAAAGACGCTCACAGTTTAAGCCCCAATAGGGATCACCGCCAACAGGTGATAGCAACAGCAAACGCACCTCTCTCCGGGGCGGGCATCACGCACGGGCTCACGGCCTCATCACCCTCCGCAGTGGAGGGATACATGCAGCAAGATGCGTAGTAATGCGATTCAAAGCACTCTTTGCCAGACCAAAAAAACCAAACCATCAGCACCGTTTGTATGAGATGGGATTTTCTCAAGAGATCGAGAGACGGAAGAGGAGGGGGGGGGGGGGGTTTGGGTCCACACCGGAGGCCACACGATTGGAAGTCGCTCTTGAAATTGTGCGATGTGAATCGCCTGTCGACGTCTGCCCGGTTGCGGGGAGGGGGACGCCCGCAATTTGACGAGCCGATTTGATTGCGCGCGACCAAGTTGGCAGGGCAGCAGCCGATCGCTCCCGTGCGGACTCGCAGGAAGAGCTAAGGGAAGGGCCCGGCGGTGGCCGTGGTCATTAAGGGAAAAATGAGCAAATGCTGGCGGCAAACAACGGGTGACAACAATGGGAGGTGGGGGCGAGAGGGGAGGCGGTTGAACAAGGACTCTCGTTTCACCAAGTGTGCCTGGGGCTCAAAACAGAGAACCCAACACTGCACTGCTTTTAAAAAGAGTTGATGCTCAGGACCCTTCACACATCAGCATATCTATTTTTACGGCGCAAAGGGCCATGACATAAAGCATTCCCGTGACGCAAATCGGTCTCCGGAGACGGCGGGATGTGTTTTATTGGCTTCAGAAACGGGATTAATTATAGCCAGGGCACGTGGCCGGCATCCAGCACGTGGGGTTTAACGGTAGCCGCGTCGCTTGGCTACTGCCAACGAATGCAATGAGTGGGAGGAGGGAGAGGTCACAATTCCACAAAGACTCCCGCAGGCACCGCGTGGATATACGACGGTTGAAGTAAGGTTCAAGCCCAGCCATGTCTTGCTCACCCGCCACTGCCTCCTCTAGTCATCACCCCCCCCCCCCCCCCCGAGGGTATTTGGCCTACTCTTCCTCGCTGGCCAGATGTCTCGGAAGAGGTTTTTAGAAACATGTGCCTGGAGTATTTGGCTGCTAGAAATTTCCACACGATAAGCCACTTTGTTGAGCGCTATCATTTGTGGCCAGGTTGGGCCGGGCCTCACCTGGAAAAAAAAAAAAGAGATGGGTACCCACACTTGCCCTCGTCACATGCGACCTGCCGATAAACTCTCATTGCGTCAAGGAGCATAAACCATCACGCGAACTCCGGCCCATCCTCGCAGTGGCTTTTGGCTGGCTATCGAACAAAGACGTTCACCGCGTCACGCACTTTCAGATGCGCTTCTGCAGCCATCTGGAACAGCTCTTCCGATATTAGGAAGGAGCTACGCACTTTAAAATAATCTAGATAGAAAATTCATTTATTAAAAACAGTTTTTTGTGTTTAGTTTGTTGTCCTTGCCCCGCACCTCCGTTTAGCATGGTTGGCTATGTACAATGTGAAAGAAGTTCAACATCCATAGACTTACACAGAGATCCGTAGACTTACATACACATGTACGTATGTACCGGTTCACACCGGGTTTGTACATGTAGCCGAGTGCCTTGCGGAATATCCCGCAGGGGAGCTGGTCACCATAGCTACACTGCGCGAGGCCAACCGGCGTGCAGACACGTCCCGATGCTCGGCAACAGCTGCCCTCTCTTGCTAGAAGCTTGAGACCCGGCTGAAGGCAGCAGCTTCTTCTATCGTAGGATTTACGCAGTTTTTTTCCTCTGGACACTCCGGCCCCTGGTTTAAAAGAACTTCAACCAACCATGTGCCCCGCAGCACCGGCCCGCATGGAGTTTTTGGCCACACAGTTTCGCAGAAAGTGACAGGGGGCTCAAACAATGTTGATGTTAAAACAAGCGATTTAACCCACGGCTGGGCACGAGTGCGTGAACCATGTCAGCAAGCAGAGTGACTGACTACGAGTTTGACTTTGTGAGCCACACAGGGCCAAGCAAAATATTTTTTATTTCGTTTTACTTGAAAAAAAATTCTGATATTAAACATCTGAAGATGGACATTATCTGCCGAAGCAAATCGTATCGCTAGGTGGCGCTGTCCTATCATGTTTGCAAAATACGAAAAGCTCTCCGTGCATTTTTCATTTGCTAAAACTTTTGGCCAGATGCTTTCGGTTAAAACTGGTTTTAATAAAGTGCCTAGCATTGAGACAGACAAATGTTATGTTTTTTATTAGATTAAAAAGCTAAATATCTTTATACAAATAGTCCTCACAGTGGACTGACCACTCTCTCACAGGAGGAGCTACAACGCCGAGTAGCATGTGTACACGCATGCGCACACATGGAACACAAATAACAATATCCCCCGTGTAGCCTTAACATACTATTGGGGCAAGTGCTGTTACCGGCACAGCGCACAAGGGGGTGGGTGGCCAGGACCGCGCCCGGCTGGCTCTCTCCCAAGTGGCGATGTTTACATGCCAACTCGACCTACGGAAGGCCCAGGACCGCTTCAAATAATTGTCACTGGTGTTGGCCGTGAACTCGCGTCGCTGGGATCGTAGGGCGGTGCGCTAACGGCTGCACTACCGCTCACCACGTAGAACACGTGCGCACACAAACACGCGCACACACACACGACACACACTCGAGATCTCAAGTCTTAAATCGGCTCTTAATAACGGCGATAGCGTCGATTGCCACGCGGGAGACGCGTTTAACAATCATCAGGCACGTGCAGCGTGTGACGAATTGACTTGCACTCGAACGGGGAGAAGTAAATTGGTGAATGCGGAGAGACGACGGAGCGTGGCAGAGAGGCTGTGGTTTGGGACGACCCGGTGTCGTGGGGGGGGACAAAATACATTTGGCGAGCTGGTTTACACATCGGTGTTTAAAGGATGCGCTGCTCAATTTCGAACAAACACCTCCAACGCAAACAAGCGCTGAAGCCGGTGTTCTTCATTCATTTTCTGAGGTGGGGGGGGAGGGGGGCACTCTTGCCGATAAGACATCATCAGTGTGAGGGCCGCCACATCATTTCAAACCATTGGAAGTTTGTGACATCAGCACGATGATGATGATGGGGTGGGGGGGGGGGCGTTGTTCACTATTTGTGTATTGTGTCGGGAAGGGCCGCACGTGAGGGGCCGTGCTAAAGGCCACCGCCGCCAGTGGGCGGCGGTGGCCTTGCGATGAAGAACACTGGCTTAAGCAGGTGCTGCTTTAGCAGGGCATTCGTGTGCATGGGGTCGTCCATGTGGCCAAAAAAAACATTTCCATTCCTCTTACGCATCTCCCCTTCCCCGTCGGCGCCGGCAGTGCCGCCCGACATCGGCTTACGCAAGCATTGACCCACAGGCCGCCACTCTACGTTGAGACGTGCAGCAAAATGCTCTAACAACCAGCGTCTGCCATAGGACATCAACACAAATCGTCCTTCAAGTGTCCGGAAACACTCCAACAGCCATCCGGCATCTTGCCGTGGGCTTCTCATAGATCCGTTGTTGTTGTTGTAGTTTACGGGAGCTTCAGGACGCTGCCAAGTGGTGGCGGTAGCGGCAGGCTGTACGAATGTGTACTGTAAACGGACCCACTGCGTCTCTACAATCAACTTAAAATGCTCCACAACGGACCGGTGAGTACCTCTGCAAAAGTGGATGTTATTTCCCATATCATAGTTAAAATGTAGGCTTAATGTTTTTGTTTTCTTGAAAAGTTTCATGTACTTGGACAATTTGGTGGACCATAAATAATCGGCATATCTGATTAACTGGCACCCTCCATGGATGCCGGATAACGGAGCTCTTGCTGCAGACAACCCAGTGAGAAGGCGACCGGCTCGCAAGCAGAAGGTTGAGAGTTCAAATCCCGGTTGAGCGGTGACTCGGTTCCCCCACGTGGTTCCGCCCGGCTCAATAAACTGATTGGGGGGTAAAAGTTAGTAGCGGTCGTCCTAGGGACAGACACGTCCTCGGCATTGGAATGCGGAATTTCCACCACTGGCTCAGGGCTGTAAAAAGGAGGAGAGCACGGCCTCGACGCTCATGCGAGCAGGAAATCACTCACGGAATGTTTTTTGACACGCTTCAAACGGCACTGAGATCATTAACGACCAACGGCCAATCCTTAAAATCCTTTTACGTTAGCGACTTTATACTTTTTTATACTTGTGTAGTGACATCGCTGGATGTCAACATGCTGGGTGGGTGCAGTGCCGGCCCTAGAGGGGCACGGCGTGCGGTGTAGCGACATCGCGGATACCACAAGGGTGTGGGTGTAGTACCGGCGCGAGAGGGGCCCGGTGAACGCTGAATATAATAGCGCGTGATGGCACCACGCTTTACGTGCAGTGCCGACCCTACAGGACAGGGTGTGTGGGTGCCGGCCAAAGGGTGAGGTTCTGTGAGGCCATGGCACTCTGGTTGACCCGGAAAGACACGTGACAAGTTAAATTGACAAAGGAGCCCCAAGAGGGGGCTAGGGGTGGTCACTTGATTGGGACCTAGATCTTTCCCGAGGATTCTGGAAGGTGGACGAGGCCAAGGGCAGAGCTGTCCACACCACAAAGAATATAAGCCGGGTCCCCGAGAGGGACCAGGGTTGTTGTTCATCCTGGAAGAAACCCTTCGTCTACGTTCTCCGTTCAACGAGTCTCCAACACGTGGACCCGGGCCAAAGCTGTTGGTCCCGGTCCGTAGTAGCAGTTACGTGGTAACTAGTGTAGTTAGCCTGGTGGTTACCACCATAGGTTGTTATTCTGTTAAGGGGGAAGTTACCCCGTGTGTTGGAACTGAATAAATGTGTTGCCTCCAAGTCTATGTCTGCGACTCAGTTGAACCCATTACACTTACAGTTAACAATCCCGCTACCGGGTTCTCCATTTAAATACTCCCACAACCATCTTAACCTAGAGAATGAATGCCGGCGCGGGATTTGGCGGGGAAACCAAAGTCGCTGCCGTTTCGGAAAAAAATCCTGGCGCGTCAACGCTCACTCGGCCGATCGGGAAGGGGGGGGGGCGAATGTCTGTGACGTCGCAATCGAAGCGCACGGAGGGGCGGACGAGTCACGGGGGGTTGTGCGGTGGCACTCGCTCACAGCACCAGGCTCCGCGGAGGCAGGGTGTGCAGGATCCTGCGAGCCTTCTCCGTCATCAACACTTGGTCCTCCGTCTTGCCGCACGCCACGGCCTCCCACTCCTCGCTCATCTGTGCAGGAGGGGAAGGGGGGATGAGATGCGGGGGCGGGGGGCAGCGGTGGGGGGGTCAAAGATTGTCACTGCCGCACCTCCGCGTTACCAACCCTCGCTACCCTGTCAGATCCCATGGCTGCTGCTGCACTATTAGACACTCACATTTAAGTGGAATAAAAACATCTTTATATATATCATGTATCGTAGATGCAGCCAATGGTGACTGGGCCGTTACCCTCAAATACAAGATTGTGTGTTGCTTCACGGGTGCGATATATAAATGTGAGTATTAATATTATTATTATCGTAAGACCCAGGATGGCATCTGTACTGGCCCAATGCTGACACAGGCCTCAGCTCTCTGTGCCACCAAGCTACCTCAGGAGATTGTCAGTCAACGTGTGGCAACATTGTGCCTTCAGCACAACATCATTATTACTTCAACTGAAAATAATTAATAGAGTAGTTGGGAGCAGAAAAAAACAAAATATGGAAAAAATCTGAATCAACAAGCTTTGCACCGGGTGAATGAATCTTATTAAGTAATTAATGTCGCTCACTCTCAAGCAGCAGGCAGTGTCAGGTGCAAGAGGTGCATTGCAGCCCAATAATGAAACGCATGCAAAGAAGAACACACACAAAAGGTGATTCAAACTAATTATGCTAAGCGATGTCATGATTGCAATGAGTGTGCATGTGCAATTAGAGCATGTATGTGCAATTAAAGCATGCATGCACTGCTGTGTGGGGTAAAAAATGAGGTAATTAGTGTTGCTTTCCGGCACTGAACTGAACTATGGCTAATGACAGCTCATTATAACATATGAGAATGGTCCCAGCCACAAGGAAATTGACCAGTCGCACAGAGCATGCATATCCCGAGACAAGCTCGCTGCTTCGCAGTGGCAGAGCGGGGAGAGAACATTCAAACTCTGCACTCACACTCACTCACATTGATTATATTGGTAAAAAGACTAAAGTAAAAATTGGTTTTCTGTATCGACACAAGCATTGCTTCTCCCCTATGTTCCGCTTGGAATTGATAAAAGCTACCGTACTGCCTCTACTTGATTACTGTGACATCGTGTATAAATCAGCCCCCAGTACTATACTGAAGAAGCTTGACTCAATTTATCACTCGGCCTTAAGATTTGCATTGAACTGCCCATATAGGACCCACCACTGAGATCTCTACATTGGGTCAAACTTAACTTCTCTTAATGATCGATGGCTTGTGCATCAGATCTTATTTATTCACGATGTACTTACAAAAAAATGAGTAGACTACCTGCTGGATCTCATCACTGTTTCGAAGAACAAATGTGACCTAAGGTCTTCGCTCATTAACCAGCTTCACATTCCTTATTGCCGTACAAATACTGAAGGAAGGGAATTTTCTGTTGATGCCCCCAGGGTCTGGAATGCTATCGCCAATAAACTACAACTTGGATCACTACCTGTGAGATCTTCACTCAAAACTGCTCTAGAGGAGTTGTAAAACCCTAGCTGCCACTGCTATTCAGAATGGTCTGAAATCAAATGTATTGTTCTGGATGACCGCTGCAAAGTATGGTCTTGAGTTTTTATTATAGTGTGCTGATCATTAAAAGTGTATTGAAAAAAATAGATTCTGCTACTGATACTCCTGCTGTTATGGAGTGACTCATGCAGCCAACTATGGCTGCAAAGTTTGGTCATACATGTTATGTATCTCATTGATTGTTAAATTTGAATCACAGTTCCTATGCTCACAGTTAAAAAAAAATTATAACTTTAGTTTGATTTTGAAAACGTTTTGGTTTAGCATGTTTGTTTTTTGTAGTACAGAGTTAGCCTGATAACTTTAAGCTACAATGTCTTATGGTTGTTATTGTTTGACTTGCATCCCTGGGATTTTTTGCACACAGCATTGAAATACGGTGTTTTTTTCTGGAAGACTTTGCTGTTTTTTCCAGGATTTTCCTGTTGCATGTAGTCACTTTAAGATGTTTCTTGTTCATATTTTTGTTTTGTTGCGGTTGCACCCGAGTCAAGAGCCGCATGGCTCACAGGGTTATACCTAATAAATGAAACTGAAAACTGAAATGAAACTGACACTCCCACCCCTCTCTGCCACAGGGAGAACATAAAAACTCTATACACTCTCCCTCTGCCACAGGCAGAAAATAAACTCTGCACACACCCTCACACTCCCTCTGCCACAGGGAGAACATACAAACTCTGCACACTCTCACACTCCCACTCGAACTGCAGAACAGGGGGAGAACATACAAACTCCATACAAAGGCACCCGAATCAGGAATTGAAGCCAGGCCCCTCTTGCCGTGTGGCAACGAGCGTTCAGAATCAGAATATTTATTTACGCTAGAGGAATCCGATGAGCTCTTGAGATCTTTTTCTCAGATGTCCACTATTTTTACGGATATCCAGTGTTACCTGTATCTCTAGGACGCACCGTACGGCATATCATAGTATCACACGGCACATCGTACGGCATATCATAGGACTGTACGGCACATCCTAGCAACGTACGGTATATCGTATGATACGGCATATCGTGTATTGTACGGTATATCGTAGAATAGTACGGCACGTCGTAGTTTCGCCATCGGCAAACCTTCGTGCGAACGCGTGTGTCACCTGGATGGGCATCTTGCAGCAGAGGTTGTCCTGGAGCGAGGTGCGTAGCGGGGTGAGCGGCTGGCGAGGACTCTCCTCAGCCTCATCCCCCATCACCCTCCTCTTGTGCCTCGTTCGGCTCTTCAACAGAAACAGGGCAGCAACAATATTGGTCCATCCTAGCAGGTGCTAACTACGCTGTAGCACGCGAGACGCAACACATCGCTCCATAAATGGAAAATCAAAGAATCGCCAAACTGCGACTGTGGCAAAACCCCAAACCATCAGAACGCACCGCCGACATGTGTGCGCCATCATCCACGTCACACGCCCTGGCGGCATCTCTGAAATCTGTACAGCATCTACTGCCGCCTAGGATTAGTCGAAGGGTCTTAATATTCAACTATGATATCTACACAAACTGTTGCTTACAGGACGTATGACAGAAGGGAGAGAAGGGGGACGAGAAGGGGAGACGGGAAGGGGGAACGAGAAGGAGGGAGGAGACGGGGGAGGAGGAGAAGGCTACGCTGCAGGAGTTGCTGTATAGCCCCTCCAGTGTGTTTTCAAAGACTTCTATTTCCAGCTTTTGTAGAGAACCCTGGATCCATGGGCCACAAGTGAGTGCCCTTAACAGCTCTCCCATTTGTTTTCCGGTTTTTGCCCTGGTGTGGTTCAGCACTTCCCGACGTTTCGCCGCCACATCCTGAGCACGGCAGAACCCGAAAAACGCACCCAAGAGCTGGGCAAGTGTTTCTCAACCGGCCTTCCATGAGATGCCCCCCTCACGGTACAGCATTCGTGCAGCAGTGGCTTAATTTGTGCATTCATACAAAGCGTTGGCGATCGCAAACGCGTGGTAAGGGTTGGTGTTGGTTGCGAGGACCCGAGTTGCGAATCGCCGCTACAGGTAGTAAACGCACGCGTGTTTCCGTGTCCCTATAGACCCCCCCCCCCCCCCCATTACACAGCGCGTGAGCAGGCCCGAGTGCAGTCAAAAGGGCGGTGGGTGTTGGGAAAGATCAATGCGCGCCGATGATTGATGTCACCGAACGGCAATTTCTGAAGCACGGCTTTGCCTGCGCAGGCATTCCGTTGGAGAGAAACCATTTTGGAGGAAGCTTGGTGAAGCGGTCTGTGGCTTGGCTGCCGCTCGCTGGAGTGGTTTATAATGAACGGCACCGCGTGCGGGTGTTGCATTCTTCGAAAACGAGGGCGCTAGGAAGGCCGGGCAGGCGGGGGCAGATATTAGAAGATTGGAGAGTTTTGAAACCCGCCGCTCTACGTCGGGGACCGCAACAGTAGCGCCCCGCCGCTCTACGTCGGGGACCGCAGCAGTAGCGCCCTGCTGCTCTACGTCGGGGACCGCAGCAGTAGCGCCCCGCCGCTCTACGTCGGGGACCGCAACAATAGCGCCCCGCTGCTCTAAGCAGATTCGGGGACCGCAACAGTAGCGCCCCGCCGCTCTACGTCGGGGACCGCAGCAGTAGCCCCCTGCTGCTCTACGTCGGGGACCGCAGCAGTAGCGCCCTGCTGCTCTACGTCGGGGACCGCAGCAGTAGCGCCCCGCCGCTCTACGTCGAGGACCGCAACAATAGCGCCCCGCTGCTCTAAGCAGATTCGGGGACCGCAACAGTAGCGCCCCGCCGCTCTACGTCGGGGATGCGCATCATTGAAAGGTGACGATGAGGACGAATATCGAAACGACGTCAATCAAAGCGATGTTTCCACGAGAGCTGAAACAAGACAACGGAGGTTGTACCGAGACGCTGCTGTGTTAACGCGCGCATCTTCATCAGTGACGTACCCACAACGTTACATTAACTTACTAGTAGTACATTCGTAATGTGAGTACAGCACTTTAACACAAATTATACAGGGTACAATAAAATGCAGTACACTACAAAAACAATCACCTAAATAATGTACATTACTAATATATTGTACGGTACAGGAAGTTTCTTTATGTGCGACACAAAGTAGTTTGTGTAGAGTCGTAGCGGGTGGTGATGGAGGCAAAGGCTGAGAGGCAACGGATAACGAGAGGGGGCGGACAATGCCGTCGCCGACGTGAGCGCCGGGGTTGAGGCGACGCAATAATCGGCGAGTTGCGTTCATAATGAAGCGACGACGCGTCTTCGAAACCGCGTGAAAGGGGGGAGACGGGAATGGGGATGTTGCTGTACAACAATCATTGGACCACATGGAAGAGGGTGGCTAACGAGAGGGTGGCTAACGAGAGGGTGGCTAACGAGAGGGTGGTTAACGAGAGGAAGACTAACGAGAGGGTGGTTAACGAGAGGGGGCTCCACTCGGTCCGTCTCTCGCGAGGGCAGGATATCGCAACCAAGCTGCAAGATCAGCCAGACTGGCACGAAACAATTTGCCCGAGCTGTGTGCCCTGCCAGTGGTATCAGCGACGATTGGCGATGCTGGCACACCGTGGCCTAACACTCGTCTTCAAACAGTGTTTCGGGGCACTCTCGAACGGCGTGATGCACTGTGTGTGCAAAACATCGATGCAGGGCATGATGGGTATTCATGCCTTGCTGCTGTGTACGGGCAGCAGCATCACCTTTGCATATTGCTATTTCTCTAGGACCAAGAGGGTGGGGTGCCGGTTACCGCACTGGTTCGTTGGTTACCGTGATAGCTACCACTGGTTACTGTGGTGGTTACCTTGATGGTTACCAGTCTGGTCACCATGCCAATTACTGTACTAGTTACCACTCTGGTTACCGTGATGGATACCCATTGGTTATCACATCGGTTATGGCGTTGCTTATCACACCAGTTCCCACACAAGTTACCACTGGTTACCGCTAGTTACCACTCTGGTCACCACGCAAGTTACTGTGCTCGCCACTACTCTGGTTACCGTGCTGGTTACGCTGCTGGTAGGGTTGACGACGGCTTGGTCGTTGGTTGGCAGGACATGGCAGCAGTTCTCAGTGTCCATCTTGTCGAGGGCCAGCGACTTGCGAGCACGCTTGGCGGGAAAGTCGGCCTGCAGATAGCACCAGGGCACGCCGCTCAGTACAGAGAGAAGCACCCCGCAGCGAAGCCGCACGCAATTCCTCTGCGCCGGTACGAGAGAACGAATGGTTTGATTTCACTCACCACCCGTCGTGTCGGTGTGCGCTCTGTGGAACGCCTTGCCACTTGAAATCAGGCAACCGCAGTCGGTAGATATGTTGTTTAAGTCTGCTTTGGAAACCCATCTCTTTAAACTGGCCTTCCCTCTTTAGTTTGGTCAGTTGGCCTGGTTCTGTAGTTTTTTCATGCTTTTTAAGCATTGCGCATTGGGATCCTGGAATGGAATGAGTCTTCTAAATTTGAATTATTACTTATTATTAAAGCTACGGTTTAAATCCAAACGTTACACGGTGGTGAGCTCACGGGGGTGGGGGGGGCTTCATCCTTTCCTTCGGTCGTCAATCAATCGCACGCTTGATTTACAACTCGTTTGGCTCAGCCGAGGGCACGGGCGCGCTTTTTGCTGTGGATGCAAGCAGCCCTGCCCTTTGTGCAACTGACAAGATTCATACTGGCTGAAGGTACATTTTAAAAACGTTTCCAAATGACCTTCCCTAAATTGTCCTCTTGGTTTCACGTCACAAGCCGAAATATCCCATTCGGATGCCTAGTAGCAGAGCAGCACAAGAACCCTTCGTGGTCAAGCGGCCCACGGAATCCGACACCACAGCGCTACCTTTGGAGATTCAGAGAACACCAGGGGGGGGCGAGCACACTTCCACCCCCCCACTTGACGGAATTTTGTTCTTCACAGGAGAGTTAAAACGATATATTTGTATAGGGTTTGATTCTTAGAGGTGGAATTTGCTGAAATGAAGTTCCGAACGAAATTTAATGCAATGTCTTTTTTTGTGTGGGTCACGGTGGTGAGATGTTAACTACTTCGCCTGGTATGCAGGAGGTCGTGGGATTGATTCCGACCCTGATGCCTGCTGTATATTTGGAATTTGCAGTGTCTCTCTCCCCGTGGCTGTGTGGATTTTTTTCCGGTTCCTTCAGTTTTTCCCTCCACATTTAGATTCATGCATTTGCAGAGTATTTGGTTGCTATACATTTCCAAGTGATAAGCCACTTCGTTGAGCTATCATTTTTGATAGCCAGGTCGCTTCTGAAAAAGAGCTATAATATAGATCAGTGTGGACCAGACCTGGTAAAATAAAAATTAGTAGGTTTAATTATGAGTGGCTTCTTGGATTGGAACCCACAATGTCAGCGGTGCCAGCTCAGCACTCTTGACCTCTGATCTACCGAGTAACCACCTCCTATTAACAGCGAGCGAGCGAGCTAATTGTTGTGAAGAGCAACTGTGGAAGTGTCTGTGAATAGCTAAAAGGTTAATGGCAATGTCAACCCCATGAGCCAACATCACTACGGTCCCGGTTTGATGAATCTGGGCAGCCACCAGTAATTAAACCTAAGCCATGAAGTAGAGGGTCAATCGTCTGACCTGTGAGCACCAGGACATACACACACTATTATTTTGTTTGCCAGATTAAACAAATGCTTTTGGATATTGGACGGCAAGGCAAATATCCAGCAGATTGAATGCCGTGCAACGCTTAGAGCGGACAGCGAGGCAAATGAAGGTACTTCACGAGCAGTTCTGCACCATTTTCTGCAGTTGTTGGTGGAACTTCCACATTCCTATGACGGGGTCTCGTTTGTTGTCCATAGGAACAACCAACGTCAACTTCCCCAAATAATTGCTACTTGTTTTGTCGACTCCGGAAGGAATGATTGTCCAAAGTCAACCCTCGACTAGGATTGTAACTTCTGTCAACCTTCAAATTGAGAGCCGCTCGCTCTACCGCTGAGCCACCTGACCGGAATAAGAGAAAGAAGAATGAGAGGGGCGGCGGCGGCGAATGATCTTTAATAACGTGAGCGAGCAGTGTCAGGTGGCTTAATGGGCACCTTCAGGGTGATGCATGGTCACGTCGGCAATTCATCATCAAAGCCTCAACCCCCAATGCTGACGGCACCGAGCCGCTTCTGGTCCGGTGCCGACAGATCTGAGGACGTTGCTTATGTGAGCGCCCCCATTGCATCATTACTGAACCCCCCCCCTTGCTCATCCCAGCCTTCGCACGTCTCCTACTCAGTCACTAATTTTGCCATACGCGTAAGATTCCGGAACGATGATCAATCCATCTGTATCGACGAGTCACTCTTAATTTGTAAGTGCGACGAAGGCATTATACATCTGCTTATTATGTGTTGTGTGTCATCTAGTTTTACGTCAAACTAGTACCCATTGCAAAGAGGGTAAATGCCTCTAAATATCAGTCGGTTCACCAACATCGGTCCAGTGTGTGCTTGTGTTGAACTGATGATGCTAAGGTACACTCCAGGAAGGCCGTGTGGCCAACGGGTTGTGTAAAATGCACTTTTATTTATTGATGTCAAGAGAAAAATATGGGAACAAGGTATTATGTTCGATTAATTATTTTGTGGCTTATATTCTCTGGAGCGACGCTCAACGGTTGCTGCGTGTTATTTATTTATGCGGCCCACTTCACTTCAATGAATGCGCCTCGGAGCCCTTTACGCTGAAGCTCAAATGAGAAACGCGTGGCCTGGAGGGACAGTGCTGCCCAGCATTTATTACCCATCCCCAGCTGCCCTCAGGCGGTGGCGCTGGAGCCTTCTCCTTGCAGCGCTGCAAACTAAATATAAACTAAACTGTTTATTTTACCAGGTGAGGCCCACTGAGCTGTATAGCTCTTTTTCAGAAGCGACTTAGCCACAAATGATAGCTCAACAAAAGTGGCTCGTCACGTGGAAATGTTTAGCAGCCAAATACTGTAAATGCACGTCGATTCCAAATGTGGAAGGGAAAAGCCCGAGGACCTGGAGTAAAATCCACGCAGTCACGGGGAGAGAAACACGCAAACCCCAAATAAACAGCAGGTGTCAGGGTACGGGATCGAACCCACAACCCACAACCTTCTACATACCAGGCGAGGGAGGTAACATCTCCTAGCCACCGCGGCGCTGCAATCGCTGTGTAGTGAAGGTGCTCTCACCTTCCAGGGGTTACCGGTTTTGGCCGAACAGAGGCCGGTGAATCTCCCTGGGGTGTCCTGCAACGAGGACACATCCTTCTCCAGCACCTCCAGCAGGTCCTGCTCCAGCTGGGAAGGTGTCTGAGGCTGCAAACGACCCAATTACGCAATGGAATTATACACGCAGCACCATCGCTCCCGAATGCAAAAACTTGGCAGGAACCCTCCTCAAAAAAGTGTCTTGAGGCCGAGTGAGGCTTTCCTTGGTAAAGGGTAACAGCAACGGAAATGAGCGATATTACACGCACATAGCGCGTGCGCAGTGTTACCGCTGCGCCACCTTGGTGCCATCATACTCCTGCCATGTATCATCGAATTACCCAAACCACGTGGGGCTCTGTGCTACAGCCTTGTAAGAGAACGTTCGCCAATCCACGTGTTGTTGCTGTGCACCAGATTGAGTCACGGGGGGACGACGCCATCGTCAGGACTGCTTTGCTGTTGTTGTAATATGAGATCTAGAAACAGAATTTTTTTTTCAACTTGTCATTACTCCATTTGACCAAACCACCTTGAGTGCGCCCAATCTTGCCAAATCTCTCAGAATCCAGATGGGATTGAGAGCCCGGATAGTCCTTGGATGGGCAAACCACGATGCACAAGTGTTCTAAGCTGTGGGGCTTGCGTGGTGGGCAGCAGAGGGCATTGCAGCAACATCCATTGTTGAACTGCACCTTTACACGACCACATCTATGCTCGCCTCCTGCACAAACCTACACTGAAGTATGGTCAGCCAAAGACCCGCACAGACGAGGCCATCATCCATCAGCCGATTAACAAATGGGCTGTAGGCACACATATCATGACTACAGATGCTGATGATCACTTGTGAGCCTGCTGCGGTGGCAAGATGTTATATACCTCGCCTAGTATACAGGAGGTCGTGGATTCGATCCAGACCCTGATGCATGTATATGTGGAGTTTGCATGTGTCTCCTTGTGGTCGCGTGGATTTTTCTCCGGGTACTCCGGCTTTTCCCTCCACATTTAGAAATGTGTTTTAAAGTATTTGGATGCTATAAATTTCCACATGACGATGATAAGCCACTTCATTGAGCATCCATTTGCAATGGCCAGGTCACTTCTGAGAAAGAGGCACATAGCTCAGTGGGGCCCTTACCCGGTAAAATCGAAAACAGTTTAATAGTTTTTACAGTTTACTACAGGTCGACGTACGGCGAGTGTGAAAGCAAACGCTTAATAAAAAGGCGACCCCGGGGTCATCATTGTCCTCACCATCAGCTTGAGGGGGCCATACTTGCTCTCCTGGGCTGCCAGCGCTTTCTTGAACGGCGTGGGGGTGCGGGGCGGTCCCAGGATGGAGCGCCGGATGTTGAGAGTGCGGTAGCTGTCAGCGGTGACAAAAGAAAGGCCTCCCGCGTCATCTCGTACGGCAGAAACGTTCATGGCCGTGTACATCATCAGTTTTCTTCCGATTCCGTTCCGGTGACGTGCGTGCACATCATCAAATGACACCAGAAGAAAAACTAAAATAAAACAACTTTTTCGGTACCGAGGCTCCCACAAGGCCATGCGGGAGGAGGGCATGTGGCACAGTTTGGCTGCCAGCTATTGTAGAGTGGCGGCGGTCGTGTAGCTTTGGTTTTCTGCAGTGAGCCACAATGTCTTTAAAAACAATGGTGTACACGCTTCTCTAAATAAAATTGACGCTGGGCCGCTCGCAAGTTCTGAGATTTAGTGGTGAACGGGACACCCACCACCCTGCAACTTGCAGACATCTCGGAACGGTGAAAGGGTTCACTTGCAAAGAATAGGAATGTCCCAAGGTGGCAAGGATATTCAGTGAGCTGAGCCGGCACCACTGATATCCTGGGTTTGGATCTGGATTTCAGCCATCCGAGATGAAACCAGCCGGGTTCTCAGGTGTGGTGATGTTTCTCAACTGCACACGAAAAAAATCCTTCACAATGAATTTGGTTCTCCCATCAATTTGACAAAATTTCAGCTCACACAATGGCTGTCATGCGATGAACCTCAAAATGAAACATTCACATTGAGAATGAGAAATGTAGCTACACCAGGAAGGAACAGAGGAAAGTAGAAACAGAGGGATGGAACAGAGGGGTGGAGGAACAGAGGGGTGAAGGATCAGAGGGGTGGAGGATCAGAGGGGTGGAGGGACAGAACAGAGGGGTGGAGGAACAGAGGGATGGAGGGACAGAGGGATGGAGGGACAGAGGGGTGGAGGATCAGAGGGGTGGAGGGACAGAACAGCGGGGTGGAGGGACAGAGGGGTGGAGGGACAGAGGGGTGGAGGGACAGAGGGGTGGAGGGACAGAGGGGTGGAGGGACAGAGGGGTGGAGGGACAGAGGGGTGGAGGGACAGAGGGGTGGAGGGACAGAGGGGTGGAGGGACAGAGGGGTGGAGGGACAGAGGGGTGGAGGGACAGAGGGATGGAGGGACAGAGGGATGGAGGGACAGAGGGATGGAGGGACAGAGGGATGGAGGGACAGAGGGATGGAGGGACAGAGGGATGGAGGGACAGAGGGGTTGAGGGACAGAGGGGTGGAGGGACAGAGGGATGGAGGGACAGAGGGGTGGAGGGACAGAGGGGTGGAGGGACAGAGGGGTGGAGGGACAGAGGGGTGGAGGGACAGAGGGGTGGAGGGACAGAGGGGTGGAGGGACAGAGGGGTGGAGGAACAGAGGGGTGGAGGAACAGAGGGGTGGAGGAACAGAGGGGTGGAGGGACAGAGGGGTGGAGGGACAGAGGGGTGGAGGATCAGAGGGATGGAGGATCAGAGGGGTGGAGGGACAGAGGGGTGGAGAAACAGAGGGGTGGAGGGACAGAGGGGTGGAGGATCAGAGGGGTGGAGGGACAGAGGGGTGGAGAAACAGAGGGGTGGAGGGACAGAGGGGTGGAGGATCAGAGGGGTGGAGGGACACAGGGGTGGAGGAACAGAGGGGTGGAGGAACAGAGGGGTGGAGGGACACAGGGGTGGAAGAGCAGAGGGGTGGAGGGACAGAGGGGTGGAGGAACAGAGGGGTGGAGGAACAGAGGGGTGGAGGAACAGAGGGGTGGAGGAACAGAGGGGTGGAGGAACAGAGGGGTGGAGGGACAGAGGGGTGGAGGGACAGAGGGGTGGAGGGACAGAGGGGTTGAGGGACAGAGGGGTGGAGGGACAGAGGGGTGGGGGACAGAGGGGTGGAGGGACAGAGGGGTGGAGGAACAGAGGGGTTGAGGGACAGAGGGGTGGAGGGACAGAGGGGTGGAGGGACAGAGGGGTGGAGGGACAGAGGGGTGGAGGGACAGAGGGGTGGAGGAACAGAGGGGTGGAGGGACAGAGGGGTGGAGGGACAGAGGGGTGGAGGAACAGAGGGGTGGAGGAACAGAGGGGTGGAGGAACAGAGGGGTTGAGGGACAGAGGGGTGGAGGGACAGAGGGGTGGAGGGACAGAGGAGTGGAGGAACAGAGGGGTTGAGGGACAGAGGGGTGAAGGAACAGAGGGGTGGAGGGACAGAGGGGTGGAGGAACAGAGGGGTGGAGGAACAGAGGGGTGGAGGAACAGAGGGGTGGAGGGACAGAGGGGTGGAGGGACAGAGGGGTGGAGGGACAGAGGGGTGGAGGGACAGAGGGGTGGAGGAACAGAGGGGTGGAGGGACAGAGGGGTGGAGGGACAGAGGGGTGGAGGAACAGAGGGGTGGAGGGACAGAGGGGTGGAGGGACAGAGGGGTGGAGGGACAGAGGGGTGGAGGGACAGAGGGGTGGAGGGACAGAGGGGTGGAGGAACAGAGGGGTGGAGGGACAGAGGGGTGGAGGGACAGAGGGGTGGAGGAACAGAGGGGTGGAGGAACAGAGGGGTGGAGGAACAGAGGGGTTGAGGGACAGAGGGGTGGAGGGACAGAGGGGTGGAGGGACAGAGGGGTGGAGGGAGAGAGGGGTGGAGGAACAGAAGGGGTGGAGGATCAGAGGTGACGGAGGAACAAGGCAGAGGCAACGTACGCTTTGCCACCACCCTTGGAGGGCTTCGGCGTGTGGTCCCTCTGCAGTGGCGTGGTCACCTCCACCTTGTGGCTGCACACAGGGGTAGAGGTGAGCGACGGGCCCGAATCCAAGCGGATGCCGTCCTGCACCTTCACGTTCAGGAACTGCACGCACGGGCACAACCACGCAGCAGCGCCAATCACGCAATGTCTGGCTCGAGGCTAAAAGTGTCCAAGAAATTAACGTATTGGCAGTACACCGGTGGTGCACGGCATAAAAAAAGCGAAATTTTCACAATCATTATTTACTTTCCCGCGATTCGCAACCCCGGTCAGAGAATATTGCGGGGGAGTGGTGGTGGTGTGGCAAAATCAGTTCTCGTTATGCTGAAGTAGTCGGAAGGAGACGAATGTTATGAGCGGCTGAACACGAAGCGTCGCGGTCAGTTGCCGTATAGCAACACCCAGCCTGCTGAAGATTGGCTGGCTCAGTGTTCCAAATGCAGATTTGACGTCTCGTTCCCGAGACTTGGTCAGACGATTCCTCGATTCAACGGCACCCAAATCAATGGTCAACGCTGACCTGGGAATCGCGTCAAACTTGGCGAGGATCAAATTGAAGACTGCTATACATATCTGCAGATTCAAATTACGATTTCAGACTGTTTTACAGGGACCGGTGTGTTATGCTGCACCGGTGTACCGACAATACGTCCAAATAACAAAAGTTGCAAGATCATCTCCCCCTCCTGGCAGACTAATGCCGAGCCAGGTGCCGAGTCACCTTGGGCTGCGCAGGGACAGCTGCCAAAACGGGGATCTGTGTCGCGTGATGTTACGTGAAGTGATAGAGCACGCAAACTCCAAGCATACAGCAGGCGTCAAGGGTTGGGATCGAACCCACAACCTCCTTCATACCAAGTGAGGTAGTTAACATCTCCCCACCACGGCGAGACGTTAACGAGGCCAAGAAGCAGCAGATGACGGGACCTCCGCTGTCAGTGGCAAAGAGGGTGGGGGGCCGTGCTACCTGCGACGGGGAGAAGGAGAGCTTCTTGAGGGGCGTGCTTTTGGGAGTGTCCTGCAGTTCGCTCATCTCGTCCAACAGCGACGACGAGAAGGCGGGGGAGGAGTGGCTGACCCCGCGCACGCTCCTGCGCCTCAGGATGGTGGGAGGGCTGCTGAACTTGACGGTGACCGTGGGCGTCGTCAGCAGAGGCACTTCCGCCTCGGGAGTAATTTGCGGCAGCTGCTTCGAGTTGGCCTGGGAATGGAATACAAGGCAAGGGTCAATGTCACATGTAATAGCAATAACACCGCTTTATGTTTGCAAGCCGTTGTTCTTGCAAATCGCAGATTAAGCTTTGCGGAAATGTGCAACGTGCGCGTGTTTCGTGTGGCACACGGAGGCACGGAAGACACCGCAGCCAAAGTGGGAAGCAGTCAGAACCGGCGCCAATAATTGTAAACTATAGTCCTATATTGGGATGCTTGGCCAACTCCCTTCGAGTGTTATTTATGCACGTGGGAGGAAACCAGAGTACACCCACAGAAAAATCACGTGTGCCAAAGGCTGTGCTCTTCATTGCAAGGGCTGGGGGCCACTGACGGCCCCTGGTTGCGGCCCCCGACAATACACAAATAGTGAAAACACCCCTCCCCCATATCATCAAATGTGTGGCGGCCCTCCTCACACTGATGATGTCTTATCGGCGAAAGTGGCCCCCCCCTCTGAAGAGGAGTCAAGAACATTGTGCTAAGTCGTAACACCGGTAGGAGAGGTGCTGAACCAGGTGAGGGAGGGAAGAGATGGAGAGAGAGAGAGACAGCGTGAGTGCGTGGCTGCGCCGCGACGTACGGGCGTGCTGGGATGAGCATCGATCACAGGCGGCTGTGGGGCAGCGCTGGGGTTGACCGTCTCTTCTACCAGCTCGGCCAGCTCATAGATCTCTCCCAGCGAGGTCGAGTCATCGAAAAGCATTTCCTGCCAGACACAAGCGCAGGTAGATACGACGTGATAGTCACCGGGACGCGACGAGAAGCAGTCACAGGGACGCGACAGTTAAAGACACGTCGAGACAGTTACAGACATGACACGACAGTTACAGACACGACGGGACACAATTACAGGGACGCGACACGACACAGTTACAGACACGTCGAGACAGTTACAGACATGACACGACACAGTTACAGACACGTCGAGACAGTTACAGACATGACACGACACAGTTACAGACATGACACGACACAGTTACACACACGTTGAGACAGTTATAGACATGACTCACACAGTTACAGAGACATGATGAGACAGCCGCAGGGATGCAACGCGAAACAGTTATAAAGACAACGATACACAGCAATAGGCACGCGACAAGACAGTCACAGGGACATGACGAGTCACAGGAACGCAAGGAGACAGTCAAAGAGACGTAACGCGCCAGTCACAATTACGCAAGCAACGAGACACAATTGCAAAAGACGTGACGAGACAATCACCGAGAGACAAGACGGGTACGACGCCTCGCAGTGACCGTAACGTTACAGTGTGCGGGGACAGAGGTGCCGTGGTGACGAGGACGTACCGACTCGATGAACTGCAGCGCGTCGGCGAACTCAGAGATGGCCTTGAGCGGAGACAAGCCCTCCGGGCCGTCCACCAGCACCAGCTGGTTTGCGGCCTCCTCGTCCTCGGTCGTCGGCACCACCTCACCCACAGCCAGCTCGCTTTGCGGCTTTACCCCGACCATGGCCACCGGCGCGGGCAACGGTAGCTCCTCCAGCTGCTGCGGCTGCGGCACCGGTAGTGGGCAAACCAAGGCCTCGGCGCACCGCTCGGACGCCACCGTCATGTCAGGCTTCGGCTCCGGCTGCTGAGAGAAGCTCTTCTCAGTCAACGGAGGCGGCCAACGGTCATCCACGCCCACCCACTCAACAATTAATCCACGGGCAGCCCAGAGCAGAAATGGGCACCATGGTGGTCGTACCGACTTACTTGAGGCGGCTGATATATATACGGCTAATACGGGTGAATTTACAGCACTTGATAACACTACCCATTCGGTGTTATTGGCCACGTAGAGAATTTGGAACCGATAAAAGTTCCGCCTCCTCGCGTGGCACCGACAAGTAAAACGTCTGGACTGGGTTCGCAGGCCAAGTGGCTCAAGTCGACTAATAAACGACCTGGATGTGACGAGTACACATTGGGTAGTGACCCCCACAGTTCTGCCGGTCCCTCTTAAAGAGAACAATGTATCATCTAGCACCGGTGGCATTTTATTTATTCATTAATTTACTTTTTCTCTGCACTCCCCAAGGAAGTAAAAACAAAACACTTGTCGTGTTCGTGTTGGTGCACACTGCGCGTCTCACCTCGGTGTCCACTTCCATGCCATCAACTTGCTGGCTGGCAGTGGCACTTGTGTAAAGCACCAACGGGTATTGCTGCAAAGTGCACACGTGTGGGCAAGCCATGCGAAGAACACTATGTGTTACACGACGTGTACCGCGTACAACACATATGTGTACCGCGTGCACCGTGTATACTCTGCGTGCGTACCGTGTGTGCCGCATGTGTACCCCATGTACCATGCGTACTCCGTTTACCGTGCGTACTGCGTGCGCGTACTGCGTGTACCGCATGTGCATACCGCGTTTACACGTGGCGCGTGTTCCAGTGTTTACGTTTACCGCATGTGCCCGTACCGAGTGCGAGTCGCTGATCTGGATGCACTGCAGCGTGGAGCCGCTCCGCGAGGACGGGCACATCAGGACGAATGGCACGTGCGGTTGCGGTGCGGCTGCCAGGCCCGCGGGCACCGTGTTCTCCGTCGGGTAGCCCATCTTCTCCACCTTCCGCCTCATGGTCGAGTTCCAGTGGTTCTTGATGGCGTTGTCCGTCCTGAGCACAGAGCGACGGACACGGTTTCCGGCAGATGTGGCGTTTGTAAGGCTGGGTACGGCTGTACACGTGCAATACGCATCTTCGTGTGTTGTTAAATCAACGGGTGTTCCAGCCTGCACTCAATTTTTTTTATGTTGCGATGGGTTTGCTCATCATTTACAATTTTTAATTGCCTCTAGGCAAGTGGTAAAGGGTCCACATTTTGTACAAGTCCTCGAGATATATGGGGCTCCAAGAAGCACGTGGCGGAAGGCAATGTGGATGGCTCTCCTGTCCTAATGATAACAAAACTGATGTACAGTTGAGACTTCATTTCAATGCTGCCTGTTGAAGAGCAAGTAAGCAGGTACATTTCTAAACACGCAACTCATAATATCACAAGTCTGCAGTATTCATACATCGTAAGCTTGATTAAACAGTTCTGTCCTGGCTGTTGGGATGGTGACATTTTCTGAGTTCTTTCATTTTCTGGCGTAAAATGACAAAATGGCCGCAGGATCAGTTCTGGTTTTTTGCTTTGTGCATTCAATGATGCACATCTTAAACTAAACTATTCTATTAACCAGGTGAGGTCCACTGAGGTATGTGGCTCTTTTTCAGAAGCGACCAGCCCGCAAATTATAGCTCAACGGAGTGGCTTATCACGTGGGAACTTATAGCGGCCAAATACTCTAAACGCACATGGATTCTAAATGTGGAGGGTAAAAACCAGAGGACCCGGAGAAAAATCCACACGACCACGGGGAGAACATGCGAACTCCAAACATAGACGTCAGGGTTGGGATTGAACCCACGACCTCCTGCATACCAGGCGAGGAAGATAACATCTCACCACCGCAGCGTGTTGTTAAATACAAATCTGATGTTGTGAGCCACGCGCAGCCATCTTCGGCATCCAGCGTCCGAGTGCTGAAAATTCCCATTGAGTCCACCCCCCGAGGGTGAGCACGCAGGTGTGTGGAAATTGTTGGTAGAAGAGGACACTGCCTCGACTTGCCAGATATTACATTTCAGTTTTCCTGGATTATTTAATTTTCTTACAAATGTAATGAGATAGTGACATCTACTGGTTGGAAAAGGGAAGCACGGGTACAGACACCATTATGAACATTATCCAATCCCCAAAGGGAGAGGTATCTAGGCCAAAGGTGAAGGGCAGGGCCGGCCGAGAAACTCCAAGAACGGCTAGAAAGTTCCACGAGAGGACGTGGCCGGAGGCGGAGCCTAGCCGCGTCTGCGGCAATACATTACACAAATTACAATTCTTACAAATGAAAGGCCATTGAGGCACACTGCCTCTTTGCAAGCAAGAACCCGAACAAAAATATTTAACATATTTTTTTTGGGGTATTTTGTATTTCTCCCCAACTTTATCCAGATCGTGCCGTCGGTATCGCCGCGTCACGAGAAAAAGCGTTCATTCGGACCTCCTGCAGAGCGATGTGAGCAACCCTCGGTGTTATCAGAGAACGGCCCCGCAGAAGCGGATGATGCTGCAGAGCTATTTGTGCGATGGCAATAAGTGATGAACGGTGAGAGAAGAACGACGAGGCACGAATAAACGCCTTTGAAATGTAAGCACTCGGGCGGATATTACTACGCGTATCGTGGAATGAAAAGAAAACAAATGAATGGGTTCTAGAGAAAGCTGATGTTGAAAGAAAACTGTAAGAGGTGATACAATCAAGAAAGCTAGCCTACTATGGTCATGTCATGAGAAACAAGGAACTTGTTTTGGAAAAGCGGATTGTGCAAGGCATGATACCCGGTTCGTGTGCGCGAGGTAGACAAAGGATGACACGGACAGATAACATCAAAGCATGGACAAGGCTCACGCTGGAACAGACAATGAGGATAGCAGAAGCCGGAAGTCGGTGGCCAAGGATTGCCCGTGCGGCCAACCCTCGGATCGAGGATGGCTGAATACAAGATAAGGTGAGAGGGAGGGAGGTTGGGATAAGGGTGAGGGGGCGGCATTAAGTGCGAGTTTCTGACCGGCCGGGCAGCAACTTGGCGATGAGAGCCCAGCGGTTGCCCAAGCTCTTGTGAGCTTCGTAGATGATGCGGTCCTCCATCTCGGTCCACGATGACTTCTTCACCTTAGGGTTGAGGTGGTTGATCCAGCGCTCACGGCACTGCTTGCCGATGCGCCCTTTCAGCTGCTTGGCGACGAGGGCCCAGGACTTGGGGCCGTACTTGTGCACCAGCTCGATCACCTGCACACGCGGGGTGGGAGGGGGGGTAGCACAGTGACAGAGCCGCGACGGCGGGACAAAGCACACTTGTTGGTTGGTCCCCGTCAGTTTAACCAGGAGATTAAATTAAATAAGAATATGTATTCATAGTGGAGGAATCCGATAAGCTCTTTTGCACAAATGTCCAATCTGGGCGGATCAGAACGTTACAACAACAAACATTACAAAAACACGACAGCAGTGTAAAGTATAGGAAAGGTAAACAAATTACTTTCAAAAATACGAATAAAACTAAACTACTTCATTTTTTTTCTTACTAGGTAAAGCCCACTAAACTATTAGCTTCTTTTAGGAGCGACCTGGCCACAAATGATAGCTCAACGAAGCGGCTTATCACGTGAAAATTTATAGCAGCCAAAAAACCTAAATAATCTAATCGCATTTGCGGACCCGTGTAGTTTCCCACATCCGACGGGATCAGTGGCATTCAGAGTGATTTCCAATGCAAACGAAGCGCGAAGCAAGGTGGCAAGGTGGCGCTGCCCAGCGGCACGATGACCTCTCACCTTCTGATCTTCCTCCTTAGTCCACGGTCCCTTTACCAGCTCGGGGCTCAGTACCTTCTGCCAGCGGTTCAAGCACTGAGTGTCCGACCGGTTCTGACGGAAAGAGATAACACAACGCCGCAAAGGCCAGTCAGCGTAAAAGCACTCGTAGATATCGCTTGTGCTTAAGCACGAAATAAATGCAAATCCTCATCTGAGACTTATGTTCACTGCATGCCAGTTGTTAGCTACATCGACAAATCTAGCCCTTAACATCGATGGAGCTAAGCTAAATTAAATATCCAAAAGTACTGCATTTCTTTGTTTTTATCACAGGCAACTACCCTGACATTGAAGCACAGTTGAAAGTGCATTACGAGACAGGTATATCACATTACATCAATTAAAAGTTTAAATTACACGACGCAATAAAAAGTATACCCATTCGTTACAACTGAAAAAAAAACCCATTACCCATCCCCTGAGCGAGTCAATAGGCCCCATAAGCCGACCATCCAATCGCGGTGTCAAGCTGACAGATAGACCCATGGGGATTTGCGCAAGACCGAAGGAAGTGAAACACACATACGTATATTAATGACATCGTTCGAAGCATTAAGAAAAGTAGGTTTTGGTAGATGTTGCGCGAAGGAGCGATGGACGATGGTAAATAATAATAATAGTGGAGTTGAAGCCAAGGAATGGAACGTGACCAAGCGGACTACCCCCAAGGAGATGGAGTGGCGAATTCAGCTCATGTGGAGGTGCTGGGTGGATCGTTGCATCCCAAGATTGTGATGGGTGGCAGCAACTTGGGGAGGCATTCACCCAGCAGTGGATTGATCATGGCTGACAATGTACGTATGCATATTGAACTTCTTTCGCACCGTACGTAGCCAACCGCGCTAAACGGAGGTGCGCGGAAAGGAAAAGCAACAAATATGAACTATAAGGGATAATGACAAGGAGCTATCCACATTGTCTCAGCAGGAATGGTTCATTGCTTGATCAGAACTGCGTGTATGTTGACTGATGAAGTTACTACGACAAAAATTTCTTCACTGCCGCTCTTCTTTGCCATGACCGCACACATATCGATATGAGCTCAGACTAACATACGACTTCTCGTCAAAGTGTTCTTCTCCAGATGTAAGCACATTTGCAATACGCAACCAATCCCTCATGGTTCAGTTCACAGTCCGGAGTGGACGATGTACCGGCATGTTGCTTGCGATCAACTTCCAGTCCTTCACTCCAAACCTTTCAACGATACTCTTCAGCTGGTCATCCTGAAAATGCAAAGCCGGACAAGGTTACAGCTCTCACACACACACACACAAAACTATCCCCTCTGTAGCCAACACAGAGAGGCACCCAGGAACGAGCCCACATTCTTCTTGCTCCGAGGCACAAGAGTTACCACTGCGCCCACCCTGCTGCCACCTACGAAGGGCGGCACATCGCACCAGGACCAGCTCAGAAAATCGGCACTAACATTGTGCCGAGGATCCAACTCAAGGTCACCGGGTGCAGGAAACAAGACAAAGATCCCCCATACAGCCTGAACAAACTGTTGGGGCAAGTGCTGTTAGCGAGTAGCACCTATGAAGGCCGGCACGGCACCCGAGGGAGTGGGTGGCCAGCACCACAACCGGCCACCTTTGTCTCCCCAGTGGCGATGTTTACACACCGCACCACTTATTCATTTGCGGCCAAGGAAACCTAGAGGAGGCCCAAGACCAGTCAAGATATTCATCACTGCTGTTGGCTGTGAGCGGGAATCGAACTCGGATCACCAGGTTCGTAGCGCAGCACGCTAACCGCTACACTACCGCTTCTCAAATACATTGCACACACTAAGGGTCCAATGCAATTCCTTCACCTATAATCTCATCTCCTCCTAACCTGAAATGCATTACCGTGCAAGATTTAACCATTAATCACTTACTGTGCAAATAAAGCCAAGGACCAGATTGCCAGGAATGCACCCCCACATCCAGGTCTGGTGTCAGAAGGCAAGCAGCTTTGTGCCTGGCTATTGCCTCGAACGGGTGAGCTTTAAAGGAGTGAAAATCCATAAAAACCCTTAAAAATAACAAAAGCTCCATGCCAAGTCACATCCGAAACCAGACTGACTCTGTTCAAATGTGTTCAGTCATGTCAGAAGATGCATCGTAAATCAAGTTAATCGATCCATGGTGGCGTTATATAAACGTCGTGAATGTGGACCATCGTAAACCGGAGATTGCCTGTACACTGTTGTCCTGCACTTCTATGATTCCATTTCCCTGCTGCCAACCTTTACCACCCCGCAACTGAGCAGCGTGCTAAAGTCAAACACCCTCCCTGCTCCCGGTAGGCAAGGGGAAGCCCTCATCCAGTGGTAGATTGATAGAAGGTTGTAATGTTCACATGAAAAGTAAAAAAAAAGCTTGGGTGTGCAGTGCAGGGACACACCCGCACTGGACAATGATAATAAGTGCACATCCTCACAAAGAGCAGTTCAACTTGACACGACTGAGCTTTTGGCAGGAGCCAGCGTTTACAAAATCACATCAAGATGTAAAAAAAAATCGTGCATTAGCTCGCTCACCGCTCTAGAAGCGTATTAATGGCCCTTCGCTCACGACTGTGGCAAGGTCGTTAGCGATGGCTTCAAGGAAAGCAAAAGCACTTCTTCTTGTTGTGTACACGCACCCCGGGGGGGGGGGGGGTGATATGACTCGGCTTTGAGCCGTGCGTGGACCAAAAGTACAAGTCACAAGTATAAGTATGAATCGGGGGGATCGCGCACTCTGCAGTAGAGGTGGAGATCACACAAACTCCATACACTCACACACTCCACACTACAGGGGGAGATCATAAAAACTACACACAGAAAGGTGCCTGAGTCAGCAATCGAACCCAGGCCCTTCTTGCTGTGAGACACAATTGTCACTGGCGTTACCCTGCTGAGGTGCTCGCTAGCACTCACCTCCTCCCTGGTCCAGCGAGGCTTGAAGCCGGAGCGGCGCGAGTGGCCAGGGTTCTGCTCCGACTGATCGCGCTCACTCTCGTCGCAGTCGTCATCATCGCTGCTGCGACACGCCAAGCGGGTGCAATGTTAACCCTCCGTGCATCTCACTTGAGGTTGCGGGTGATAAATACTAACGAGTGGCAGCCAAAGGGAGAAAAGCACACCCGAAAGGATGACCGCTGTAGAGATGGAGCGATGTGATCAGTTCGTGAGCAGCACGATATGGACCGTGGCATCACGAGACCGTTAAGTTGGTGATGGCATAAGGAGGCCTTCATCCAGCAGTAGAGAGACCATGGTTGCGAATGATGACTGATGCGAGTAGTACCACAAGCATTCCTAGACCACCAGTTGACAACTTTCCTTACAAGACATTATTATACGATTGCTTTAAAACCAAGTGTTACTCCAAGGGCCAACTTTCACAATGCGCATCGTAAGACGAGCGTTATATCACTCGCAATTTACCATGGCATATTTACATTTTTACTCAGCAACAGTGGTCATTATGCACCTGACAATCTCTGCTGCAATGTGCAATGTAGAATGCATCTCTCGCTCACCTGCCATACTCCGATATCCCCGTGAAGCCCTGATGTAAGCTGTATGACAAACACACAAGCCATTGTAAGTTCTGACATTGCGACACATTTCAACAGTTTGCGAGTGTTGTTTTCAGCACGAATCCCCACACCCAAGATCATCACCACCACGTAAGTGTGAGCTGGGGAACATACGAGGTAAGGAATATGAAATATGTAGGCATACAATGGAAATCCCGTCGTAAATCAGACCCTATTTTCCCAAAGTCATATGTAACAGGGGTTAAAAGGTGAAAATCCACAAAAACCCTTAAAATGAACAAAATTTCCAAGCAAAGTCACATCGGAAACCAGACTGACCCTGTTCAAATGCGTTCGGAGCCATGGTGGAAAAATGCGTAGTGACTCAAGTTTCTGAGTCGTTAATCGATCCCTTGTGGCGTTATATAAAAGTCGTAAATGTGGATCGTGGATATCGGACCATCGTAAACCGGACACGGCCTGCACATTGTTGTACTGCACTTTTACGATCCCACATCCCTACTCCCAACCTTCACCACATTATCATCTTCAGCCATGAACAATTCTCTGCTGCATGAAGGCCTGCCCCTATCTCTAGTGGTCCTCCTGCGATACAGCACCTAGCACACGAGCTAATCTCCCATCTCATTGGTGGACATCCTCTTGGGCGCATTCCCTCTTTTGGCAAGCACTCGCTAACTATTCTGGCCCATGGGCGATCATCTCTTCGAAGTAGTTACAAGTCCTGACGAAGCCCACCAAATGATGTAGGTATGAAATATGCGGGGATAAAATGTGCAATTAAAACCATGTAAATGTGTATGTTAACAGTAAAATGTTTTTAAAAGAGGCTACTTGGGAAAACATGTATATTATTTGCACATCAGATCAGCACAGTTGGCAACGTACGTTGCGAAAGAAGTTCAACAACATTAACTATCATACCAAATTATGAATTGCTCATGCGCAAAAGAGGTCATGTTTCCTACAATGTGATTTTAGTAACGCGCAAATTCTTCGCAAAACAAAAACAAAACAAATGAGAATGTGCCGGCCAATGCGGACATGGATGCTGCGGCGTTCACTGAGCTGTGAATCACCGTCAATGCTCGTCGTAACGCAAGGCGAGCGGCGACCGTGTCGCGCGGGAAGCACAACGTCCATCTAATTACAGTCGTGCGGCGTTACCACAGACACGCCGCGGAACACAACAATGCGGACGATGACGGCATACACAATGCCTCAGTTCGCGTAATCTGCAGCTGATTGCGGTATTGTCGGAGCAAAACCACGCAGGCCACCATTGCGGTCAAGAATGAGCGATGGAGAGGGGGAATATAAAAGCAGCAGATGTGCACAACAGTTGTTGAAGGAAAGAATCATCTGGCGGTCCGGTAATGGAGATGTAGAGCTCTCAAAGCAAAAATTTTCGTCCTTGAGATCCATCAACCATCTTGCATTTCTTGGGGTAAATACATCTGAGGCATGCAATGTGGGCCTCATTTCTCGCAATTCACGAAAGGCCGAGGCTCTTAAAAGAGCAGAATTTGCAGAGACTTTCTAAAAGCCTTCAACCGCTGCACTATCCCCATTTTAAAAAGCCCTTAAAACTAAAATGCAGGCACAGAGATAAATAACAGCAGAGTGGATTGTTGCCCAGCGGTGCTGTTGAGAAATAAAGGTACTGGGTCATGGTTTAAAACATTTTATCAGTTGTCTTCATTTTCAACAAATATTTTTAGAACACCGCCCTTTGTTGCTGCAGCACTGGGGTAAACAACTGTTCTAACCCTAGCAGGGAGAGCAATCCATCAATACGGAGGCAGCAGCATCATGGGAAGGTTGTTAAAAGTGTGGGTGACCTGTTCAATCCCAGCAGACCGCCGAATGAGCTACAAACACTGCCGAAAGTTTTGCATCGATGTGCGTGCAACTGCTGTCAATCTCACCTCCACAAAGTGATCGCCGACTGTATCAGCTGCTGGCTGTGATTGTGAGGCTCAGAAGCCTCTGTCATTACAAAGTGGAAGTGAAAGATTCCGATCAATTAAAAAAATAGAAGCTGTGTTTACGTGTCAGAGCCCAGACAAAAATAAATCATTAAGTGTTTTTTAAATACTCTTTGGTTCTTGCGGTACCAAAGAGTATGGTACTACGTGACTTTACCGAAAGAACCAAAGAGTATGGATTCCTGCAGTCACGAAAGCTTCAAATCAAGATTGTTTTTAAATGTATAATTGCCCTTTGACTGTTCATCTGGAAAATGTCTTTCAGTGCCCATTGGTGTATAATGCCGTCTTCAAAGATGATATACGCTTTCCCGTTCCGAGACGTGTGCAAATTGCAGGGTGGGTCTCATTCACCGCTGAACCTCGGAACGGGAAAACGGTTAGCGTTGATTTTATTTAGAAGCATAGCAAGCCGCTGTTTTTAAATAGAGAAGTGTAGCAACACGACCATACTCGATAGCTGGTGCCAAACTGTGCCACACGCCCGGAATTGGAACGGAATTAGAAGAAAAACTGATGGCGTACACGTACGTCACCACATACGTCACGTACGTACACTTACATAATCACGTACAGTCATCACGTATGTACACGTACGTCATCACGTACGTGTTGAGGTTTTGTTATGCGTGCTGTGCCAATGCCAATGCAGTAGTCGCATAGACATTTCCATACCTGTCAACCCCTTATCAGTGCCTACCTTATTAGACAAATTCAGACCTTATTGGTCACTCCATGCCCTTACAAATCTCAACATTCATCCTATGAAGTCATCCTATGTTATCATAAGGGAGAAACACAAAGAATGTTTTTTTGAAATGGCTGTACACCATATCCACCTGAAAACTCAATTTCCCTGTAAAAGAATACGAGTAAATCGTATGGGTAGACAGGTACGCATTTCTTTAAAAATAGAGAACGAATCTCAATGGCTGCGGCATTGTGCACCTTTTAAATGCACATCCTCACAGTGCATTTGGCTCACAATGCCTAGTCAGTGCCTGCCCGACAGGTCTGCCAAGGACACCACGTGTTTTACATGGGGGGGGGGGGGGGAAACTTTCATACATCACATATATATTGTACCTAAAATGGAATAAAAGAGATTTTTTTGTTCCACATTGTTATGAAATTCTATTCTACCTGTTTTTATAAAGGCACTAGTTGATTCTCAGTTTCAGCAAAGGTGAGAACAATGCTTTGGTCCAAGTCAGCAGATATCATCAGGAAATTATTCCTTCATCTGCATGAGGAAATCAGTCGTCCCCTTGTCTATAGCTGGATGGGAGTCCTTTCAGAAGAGGCAACGATTCTATTATATTTTGGATTCATAAAGCGCCTTTCAGTAAGGTGCTTGACAATGCTTACCAACTCCGGTACAAAATGTCAAGCATTAACTAGCATTTAAGTTGACAACCCAGCTGTACAGATTTCAATTCAACCCTGTGTGAGCCTCGTTTCCAATAAGTCATTGGTAAAAAAACTCCTTAAAAAAAGTTTGTTAAAAACAACGGTTTTATTTTAAAGTGCACTGAAAAGTTAAACTTTTTTTTCCAGCCGTCACCAGGTGATCAGAATATTTTTGGACATTTGTAACTAAAACATAAAACCGTGGGGCGCTCCTTTAATATTTGTATGCATAATGAGTTGCTTTGAAAAAGCGTAGTTTCATTAAAGTTAATTTGTGATCAAATGTATGTCAAAATTATTGTCACTCAGTAGTAGAAGGGAAAATGTTTATAATTACGTAATTTAAGTTTGCCATGAAGTATAAAACATTTGCAAGTGTTTTGAGTATAATAAAAAATCCGTATTACTAGCTCTTTGTACTCGTATCCGTGTTGAAGTGTTTCTTTAAGAACAGTTGACTGAAAAGTGATGAAAAGTTTACCAAAACCCATCATTTGTTTCTCACGTTCCTATGTACCATCATGACATTGTCAATAGCAAATAGAGATAGCCACGCTATATTATTAGAAATGTTATAGTATTTTGCCATGCTATTGAGTAACATTTGTTGATAACTTTCTTTAGCAATTCTTGGTCATCGATGAAGATATAAAACCGTGGGGCGCTCATTTCACATCACTTATGTTTCAGTTACAAATGTCGAAAAATATTCTGATCAGCTGGTGACGGCTGTATTTTTATTTCACTTTTCAGTGCACTTTAGTATAAAACCGTTGTTTTAAAAACCTTTTTTTAAGGAGTTCATTTGATTATTTTTAGTCTTTATTTTAGCAATGAATTTTTCACGAGGAATATTGTTTCATAGCTTTTAAAAATACTTGCAAAAATACTCAGTTTAAGGCTATGGTTAGTATGATGGTGAACCTGACACTTTTTAACAAGCTCATATAGCTCATAACTTCCGTCAGAGTTTTTTGCTGTGCACACTAGATAATTTTGATCGATTCCCTCAGGTATATTGAATGAGGGATGATCTTCTATCCACACCGGCATGTGTAGATGTGGACTTGCACGATTTTGGAACTCGATTCGCCAGCAGTAATCCTTCAATTGACCACCAAACACTTCATGATTATTTGTCAAGAATTTCATGAGTGTGTTCAATCGAATAATGAAGTGTCGAGTGACTATGACAGGATACTGTTCAATCAATCGTTGTGTGGCATATATATTGAGTTCATTTGGATCTTCATTGGGTCTTTCATCACCTATTAAGAGTGACTTGCGCATATCAAGGCAATTCAAATTACTGCAACTGAATGTCGCGAAGTATGTTGGTGGCCCTATTGAACGAATTCGTCCGATCAATTCATTCAGCACTGTTTGCCAATATGCAGCTGATCCTCGAAGGTTGTTAAGGTACAGGTGAAGATCTTCTAATCTAGCATCTTGTCCTTGAACACTTTTCACAAGGTGAGATGTTAGATTGAATGCGATAATACTCGAACATTGATCATGCTTAGAAGAGGTATTAGTTTCGTTGAAATCGTGTATCACTACGCAGAATTCTGAATTGAAATTAGTCCAATGGAGTGATTCTGACAGGTCTTACTTACTCGTTGGTTCTTTCGGTAAAGTCACGTAGGTATAAAATAGATCACGATGTTTTGATTGTAACACAAGCAATCATCATCAGGTGGGAAAACCACAGCAAGAAATTGTTTTTGCTGAAGTGGATGGGGGTCTTACTTCTTTGAGTCCATTGATTCATTTTTGGAAGAGGTAAAACCATGCAAACTATTCAGCTTTTAATGAATGTGCTTCGTTCAGAATGTTGTTGGTTATTTTTTTTCCTTGCTTCGTGAGTATTATCAGAGACTTCATATTCATCTTCCATATTTGGCTGATCACAATCTATCGAAGCCATTACTGATGTTTGTACAGGCATCGATTATTTGGTTGAAAGGAGTGAATTAATTGAATATTTAGTGCCGATGTTTATTCAGGTATAATTTCCACAAAACGTGTTGCCAAACATCGCGTCGAATAAGGCTTGCACACAGATTATTCTTTGGTTGAAAGGAGCGAATTAATTGATTCTTTAATGGCGATGTTTATTCAGCCATGCATTGTGTCCGGATCTGAGTAGTGTGCAAAATGTGTTATTGCTCGGACAACAGGAAGTGGACCACATTTTGATTACAAGATTTTACCACGACAAACAAACGGAGGAATAAAGTGTAATAACTTTATTGCAAAAGTTTGCTTAACTCACCCTCGAGAAGGACGTGAATGTTGGGGTGCCTGCTCCCACATCAACGCTTACTAGCATGCATTTCAAACTTTATAAATTATTCTTCAATGTACAACTTTTGTTTGTGTGGAGCGAGAGTGGCCGAAACTCTCTTTGGGTCTTTCGGTAAAGTCACGTAGAAAGAAAATAAATTAAATAATAGAGTACGACGTTTCGATTGCGACACAAGCAACCATCATCAGGTAGAACTAAATGTGAGAGACGAAACACACAGACACACATTGACACACACAGACACATAAGCAGAGAGGGACAACACATCAACTTTGCAGACACGCCTGAGACACGTGGCGCCTGCTTCCTGGGCAAGCCGATTCCAGAGTTTAGAGACTGCGGCCTATTTCACGTATACAAATATATATTGAATAAGGCGTCCATACAAAATATGTATTATTGCTTTAAACGAGAGATTGAATAGCTAAATTGATGGCGATGTTGATACAAAATGCATTGCCTCCGGATCTGAGTGCGTGCAAAATTAGGGATTGATTGCACAACGGGAAGGGGACGAAATATAGATTTTGATTTGAAGCTTTCGTGACTGCAGCAATCCATACTCTTTGGTTCTTTCGGTAAAGTCGCCATGATTTCTTGCAAAAGGTTTCTATTTGGCGTTTTAACATCTGAACTCCCCCTCTGTTTGCCAGAAAAGGAAAAAACCTGCTCACAATTTACTTCCCGTATGTCTGAGACGGAGGGAGGTTTTGACCACTCGACGAGTAAAACGTGAACATTTCCACCGCGGTAAAAAAGGGCACAACACAAAGTACACAACACAAAGTACATAATGTTACACAAGACGATGTACACAAAGTACACTAGACGGTGTACATCATGTTGCATAATGTTACACAAGACGATGTACACAATGTTACACAAGACGATGTACACAATGTTACACAATGTTACACAAGACGGTGTACACAATGTTACAGAAGACGATGTACACAATGTTACACAATGTTACACAAGACGATGTACACAATGTTACACAATGTTACACAAGACGGTGTACACAATGTTACACAAGACGGTGTACACACCAGCTTGACACGCGCACAATGACAGTTTTCGCCGTTACACAGCAGCAGCAGCGTCGTCACTACATCTTCAGTGACACACTCACAGGGCTACTCGTTATGAGTGTTACACTTGATCAGTGACACTCACAGGGCTACTCGTTATGAGTGTTACACACAGTGACACACACACTCACAGGGCTACTCGTTATGAGTGTTACACACAGTGACACACTCACAGGGCTACTCGTTATGAGTGTTACACACAGTGACACACTCACAGGGGTACGCGTTATGAGTGTTACACACAGTGACACACTCACAGGGCTACTCGTTATGAGTGTTACACACAGTGACACACTCACAGGGCTACTCGTTATGAGTGTTACACACAGTGACACACTCACAGGGCTACACGTTATGAGTGTTACACACAGTGACACACACACTCACAGGGCTACTCGTTATGAGTGTTACACTTGATCAGTGACACACTCACAGGGCTACGCGTTATGAGTGTTACACACAGTGACACACACAGGGCTACTCGTTATGAGTGTTACACTTGATCAGTGACACACACACAGGGCTACGCGTTATGAGTGTTACACTTGATCAGTGACACACTCACAGGGCTACTCGTTATGAGTGTTACACACAGTTACACACTCACAGGGCTACTCGTTATGAGTGTTACACACAGTGACACACTCACAGGGGTACGCGTTATGAGTGTTACACACAGTGACACACTCACATGGCTACTCGTTATGAGTGTTACACACAGTGACACACTCACAGGGCTACTCGTTATGAGTGTTACACACAGTGACACACTCACAGGGGTACGCGTTATGAGTGTTACACACAGTGACACACTCACAGGGCTACGCGCGTTATGAGTGTTACACACAGTGACACACTCACAGGGCTACGCGTTATGAGTGTTACACTTGATCAGTGACACACTCACAGGGCTACTCGTTATGAGTGTTACACACAGTGACACACTCACAGGGGTACGCGTTATGAGTGTTACACACAGTGACACACTCACAGGGCTACGCGTTATGAGTGTTACACTTGATCAGTGACACACTCACAGGGCTACTCGTTATGAGTGTTACACTTGATCAGTGACACACTCACAGGGCTACTCGTTATGAGTGTTACACACAGTGACACACACTCACAGGGCTACTCGTTATGAGTGTTACACACAGTGACACACACAGGGCTACTCGTTATGAGTGTTACACACAGTGACACACACACAGGGCTACGCGTTATGAGTTACACACAGAGTGACACACACTCACAGGGCTACTCGTTATGAGTGTTACACTTGATCAGTGACACACTCACATGGCTACGCGTTATGAATGTTACACACAGTGACACACACTCACAGGGCTACGCGTTATGAGTGTTACACTTGATCAGTGACACAATAGCGGTGAAGAACTGATCCACATCGTAACACGGTGGGGCACACGCGGGTCCAGTGCGATACACTTTGGGGGAGGGATCGGTGATACCATATGTAAGTCAATAACAGCGACACCATTTAGAAGTCAATAACAGTGACACACAGAGAATACAATTACCAAGTGTATGACAAGGCCTCCTTAAACGTAACACATTGTACACATCCCACCTTCTCGGCAGCGCATCGATCCCGCAGTGTTGGTTCATCAACACCGCACAAGCGAAACTCGCCGCGTCGTGGCGACGCACAACACAGCAGTAGCCGCCACCTCCACCACCATCATCATCACCTCGTCCCCTCTCACCTCACTGCGCTCAGGAGCTGCGCCATCTCCCCCCCTCCTCCTCCTCGCTGCTGCTGCTGCTTCACGGCCGCCTCCGCCGCGCCGCCTCCATTCCTCCTCGCGACGTTTTTGTTAACTCCCCGCCCCCCTCCACACGCGACAGCAGCAGCGGCGGCGGCGATATGATCCGAAGCTGCGCTAGACACGACGAGGCTGAGTCGTGGCGGTGTAGAGGTGTAGAGGTGTCACGCGTGGCGTGAGGGGAAGGCGGCGGCGGCGGCGGCGGCTTCGGGAGCCCCGCGGGAGCCGACGACGACGATGGGGGACGCCGCCCTGCACCGAATCTCGCGCCAACGGCCCCGTGGCGCGCAACGCGCATGCGCAGAGTGACGTCATTTCCGCTGGCGCGCGCGTTTCAGCATCCGGGGTAGCAAGGGGGGAGATGACGTCATCAGAAGACGGAGACTTGTGTTGCCTCCGAAACGTCGTGATTTAATTAATTAAATTTTCATTTATTATTATTTTATTTCTATATTTTTTATTATTTTATTATTTTTTCATACGTGACTTTACCGAAAAAAACTTAAGAGTATGATTCGAAAAGGAGGGAGGGAGGAGCACCCACACCCCACACGGAAGAGCGGCGCTCTACCGCTACCGGAAGATGCTCTGAGTTTGCGTGAAGAATCTTCCGGAAGATATTCTGAGTCGTGAGTGAAGAATCTTCCGGAATATTTTCTGAGTTTGCGTGAAGAATCTTCCAGAAGATTTTCTGACCATTGGAACCTCATTTGCCAGTAAAAATATGATAATTGTTTTTTTACCCTTCTATCTGGCAACAAAACTGACACCTTTTTTTTACAAGGAGTCATGTTTACATAGACTACAATACCTGCAGTCATAATGCAAACCAAGGACAGTGCACATTATCAGAGTTATGTTTTTTGTTTGCAGGTATTGTAGTCTATGTAAACATGACTCCTTGTAAAAAAAAAGGTGTCAGTTTTGTTGCCAGATAGAAGGGTAAAAAACCAATTATCAAGATTTTCTGAGTTTGCGTGAAAAATCTTCCGGAAGATGTTATGAGTTTGCGTGAAGAATCTTCCGGAAGATGTTCTGAGTCGTGAGTGAAGAATCTTCCGGAAGATGCTCTGAGTTTGCGTGAAGAATCTTCCGGAAGATGATCTGAGTCGTGAGTGAAGAATCTTCGGAAGATCTTCTGAGTTTGCGTGAAGAATCTTCCGGAAGATGTTCTGAGTCGTGAGTGAAGAATCTTCCGGAAGATCTTCTGAGTTTGCGTGAAGAATCTTCCGGAAGATGATCTGAGTCGTGAGTGAAGAATCTTCCGGAAGATGTTCTAAGTCGTGAGTTAAGAATCTTCCGGAAGATGCTCTTGAGTTTGCGTGAAGAATCTTCCGGAAGATGATCTGAGTCGTGAGTGAAGAATCTTCCGGAAGATCTTCTGAGTTTGCGTGAAGAATCTTCCGGAAGATGTTCTGAGTCGTGAGTGAAGAATCTTCCGGAAGATGTTCTCAGTTTGCGTGAAGAATCTTCCAGAAGATGTTCTGAGTCGTGAGTGAAGAATCTTCTGGAAGATCTTCTGAGTTTGCGTGAAGAATCTTCCGGAAGATGATCTGAGTCGTGAGTGAAGAATCTTCCGGAAGATCTTCTGAGTCGTGAGTGAAGAAACTTCCGGAAGATGTTCTCAGTTGGCGTGCTCTGGTAATCTTTGGCATTGTCCTTGAACCTGATTGGCCTACGCCAGAGTATATACATGGCATGAGAGATAAATGCCCTGATAGTGCCATTGTCTTTGTAGGTTCGCCTTTGGGCACTGGTGGTGAGATGAGGCCCTATAGAAGGCTGCTGGTGTAGGCCAATCCGTGTTAAAGACAATGCCATCTATTATCACCAGAGCATGTTTGTTTACATGTTCACCACAAAGTGCCGTGTGCTCAATGCAGTACTGGATTCGTTGCGAAAGGTTTCGACTCGGTGTTTCAACATCTTATGACGTCACGCATCTGGGGGGGGGGGGGGGTTCAGACATTTGTGACGATGTGTGACGAGAGGGGGGGGTTTGAGAAATGTGACGTCACATCAAAATGCGAAACTTTAAATAAATATAAACAACATGTTCTACTTAATTAAATATACCTTTTAATTAATGTTTTTCCTGCAACATCAGCATGCAGCGCCACATTAAATACGCACTACATTGACAATAGTTTAAAGCGATTTGAAGCATGTTTTATTTTGGGGGGGGGCAGAGCTTTGTGACGTCATATTTGAGGGGGGGGGTGTCTGACTTTTTGTGACGCCGTGTGACGATGGGGTCAAAAATCGTCCAAAATCGCGTGACGTCATTTATGGACGGCCCCTTAACACCTCCAGAAAGGGTAAAACAAAAATTTAAACTTCCATACTGGCAAAAATGAATTATTATTTTTCAACGTACAACACGCTACTCAATACCCCCCCCCCCCGTATCGTTCAATCCAAAGTGAATAACAAGAAAAATACACGAGCATGCGATTTGTCTCGTTTTTTACGGAGATCGCGACTGTGACCGATGAGAAAGGCTCAGTGTCGCTCGAACGCCGGGAGAAATATTTGGTGGTGATGGGGGGATGGGCATTTAAGACACGAGTAGCCTTTCAGAAATGTCTTTGAAAGGTCGGCGTGGGGTGAATGCGGCTGTGAATGTGCAGCAGCAACAGCAGCGGGACAATGATGGCAACGTCCCACGACGTTTCGGGCGCAACCCAAGCGTCCGTCATCCCTCGCCCGAAACGTCGTGATTTATTTTATTATTCTACCTACGTGACTTTACCGAGTATGGATTCCTGCAGTCACGAAAGCTTCAAATCAAGACAGCCCCCGCAGTGTAGACGTTGTTCTCTCGCCAGTAACATCATGTAACCATTGCGTCTTGCGTGTGTTTTAGCAAGCCCGGCCGCCGACGAGACCCTGAGGGTGGAAACCGACCCAGAGGTTTGTATTTCTCGTGCCTACATGCTGCCCGGGTGCAATATCGGTGTGGCAAGCCAATGGAATCGGACGCACCCACACGCAATGTGCAGATGCATGTCTGTCAAGGCCGGAGCCATGGAGTCAACATTGGGGGGGACCACATCTTCCAGGGGGTCTGGGGGTCCCACCCCAGAAAAAAAAATCTAAATTTGAAAACTCATTTCCTGCCTAAAATATAAAAAAAATTCACTCACACATAGGATGGACTTTTAATACATTTTTTTACAATAATGTCAAATAGTGTATTGTATTACATTGCTCTGTTTTTTTATTTTTTACCTTTTCTTGCTTCATTATACGTAATGGCAGAGATTAGGGATTAATAAAGTACAACCATAACCAATCATATAAACAGAAATCTATTTTATATCGATATATTGGGGGGGACATTGTGAGCATATTTGAATATTGGGGGGGGGGGGGACTGTGTGTCCCCCAATCTATATTATAATTACGGCCTTGATGTCTGTTGTAAACGCGCACGCGGGCGGCGTTCGGCTCGCGTGATCTCCCCGCCGCTGCTGCGAGACGCGCCGAGTGGAGCTGGGGGGGGGAAGGCGCTTGGGCCCCTGAATAATTTAGAGGCGCGGAAACCACTCTGCCAACACTCGGCGGAGCATCAGCCTGCCTTGACCACCCAGGGTCAGGACCCCCCCCTGATAGAGGGAGAAGGGGAAAAACACCACCCCCGACCAACAAAACCTCTTCCGACAATCCCCTATCGGGGTGGGGGTGGGGGGGGGCCTGCCTTGTTAGCCCGTTTGGAACACGGGGAGCATTATTTATTCACGCCAAGGCCAATTTAAACCCCGTAATGTGCAGCGATCGATGCCAATAGCCCACGCAGGGACGATACATCCTCGCACGCGTGTAACCATATTCCCGGTGTGATCGATACGACGACGATGGTTCTCCCCTTCTTACTTTTAGTTTTAAAATAAATTTACGTTTTATTTTTTATTTTTCCGAGCACACCCCCCCCCCGACCCCCCCCTCCCCGCCGACAAGAGCCGACACCGCCAAGCGGCCAGCGACAAACGGCACCATCGCGATCGTGGAGGAGTGGAACGCGCGATTGGCGCGTTTAGAGCACGCGCGGTGCGAAAGAAGTCCAACGTACACGGCGAACGTACGGCAAGGTGATGTTTTTAAAAGTGTTATTATGACTACAGGAGGTTGGGGGTACACGAGGCGGTGATGGGAGAGGGGATTCCAAAGAAGAGCGGTGCGAGGGAAGACGCGGAAAAGAGAAGCGAGGTGACCTGCAGGGTGGTGGTGGTGAGTGGACTGGTGAGCGGGTGGGTAAGTGGGTGAGTGTGTTGTGACCTGCAGTGTGGTGGTGGTGAGCGGGTAGGTGGACGGGTGAGTGGGTGAGTGTGTTGTGACCTGCAGTGTGGTGGTGGTGAGCGGGTAGGTGGACGGGTGAGTGGGTGAGTTGTTGTGACCTGCAGTGTGGTGGTGGTGGTGAGCGTGTGGGTGGACGGGTGAGTGCGTTGTTGTGACCTGCAGTGTGGTGGTGAGTGGACTGGTGAGTGTGTGAGTGGGTGAGTGAATGCGTTGTTGTGACCTGCAGTGCGATGGTGAGTGGTAATTGAATAGTCAGGCTGGTTGACCGTGGCCTCAACACGGGAGGCAGTGATGGGGTTTCTTGGGGACGTTGGGACTGTCCTCAACAACCGCGATTTCCTTTCTCAGCGTTATCCGAAGCTGTGCATGAGCAGCTCATCTCTGGCAACCCGTCCACCAGAGCAGCGTGGACTCGCGGCGCTTTCTGCGCTGAGGAGCGATGCTCCCGGGCACCGCCACGACGCATCCTTCACGTGCTCAGCGCCAGACGACAAAGCCACCGTCCCATGCCACCGTGGTTACACCTTTCTGTGTGTGTGCCGACACACCGCGCACGCGTTCGTCGCCACTGTGTGCTCATGTGACGGCCAAAATTGTATGAATTCCCGGACCCCTCCAAAAAATAAAAATAAAAAATACTCCCAGCTACTAAGTTGCCGATAATTATAATGCCCTTGAACGTTGATGGCGGCGGAGATTCTCCTCTGAGTCGACGAGTCTTTGTCATCATCATCAAGACGATGACTGGTCGTTGATCTGCGATATCTGTCCACTGCTGGATGAACGTCTCCCCAACTCCGTCGTCGTCTCTCGCGATGCAAAAATCCATCTGGCTCCATCGCAGGAGCCGATGCATCTTCATCGCTGCTGTGGGTGTCTTCCGTGTGTATGCACGTTGAACTTCTTTCGCGCCGTACGTAGCCAATCGCGCTAACCAGAGGCGTGCCCCTTCTTGCTTTGACTGCCGACGGTGGATTGTAAAGCGTGCCAATGAAGCGAGCAGGCGTCGTCTTTACGCATACGAGTGGGCTATCAGGTTGGGATTTTCGTTCTTCCGACCACCCATTCATGATAATAACAGCAATGATCACGAGAGTTCACACACACACGTGACACGCCACCGCACAGCATTCGCTCACTCTGGAAGAGAGCGGAAGGGAAGGAGAGAGGCCGGCTGAGAGGGGCGAGGAGGAGGAACCACAAGAAGAATGGGACGGCAGCAGCAAGCTGCTGAGCTGGGTCCAAATCCTGGGTCCAAAGCTCTGGGTTTCTTTACCTGTTAAGGTGTTAGCGGCCAATAAAGTAGCCTTTTATACACGTGGGAGGATTATTGCAGCACCCAGGGAAAACGCACGCGTGCGAGGGGACAACGCTCTATCTCGTACAAGTGGAACAGATTGGAGATTGGTCCACGCTTGCTGCACTGCCACCTCCTGGCTAGCCAGCTTTCTAGTTGCACCCCGACTCGTGTGATCCTTTGTGTGATCTACCAACCCTTGCTGCTTCCACAGGGCTGTATAAGGGCCGCGTGCTAAGCCACCGCTAACCAAGCAAACGTCACGTGGTTTGGTTGCTGCTGTAAATGTCCACGTGATGATAATACAGCATTGGACCTTCTTTGATGATGATAATTAATAAGCGAACTTCGTTGAGCTATCATTTGTGATGTCTAGGTCGCTTCTGAGACAGTTACACAGCTCAGTGAGGCCTCACCTGGTCAAATAACAAGAATGCCATTGGACCATTTCTGCCAGTATAAACGTATGAGAAATAAGAATAGGTTCTACCATTTCTGGCAATATAACAGTTTTTTTTTAATATGATATGGGTGGGGAGGGGCTGGTCACCCCGTGGTGCCCTTATAAAACTCAACGTTTAACCTACTCACGCCGGCTTGTGCCCGCCCTCACAGTCGGGCATATTTGCGGAATACACCACGCCGCCGTTGACCCTGGCCATTGACCGAGCAACCCAACGTTCCTACCAGCTCCCTCCGCAGGAATGTGCTATCATCAGAGCCATGTTTGTTAGCATGTTCACTACAAGTACCGTGTCTGTTCAATGCAGTACTGGATTCCTTGCAAAAGGTTTCGACTTGGTGTTTCAACATCTTAACACTTCCTGTTGAACTTGGATACTTGCAAAAATGAACAATTATTTTTCAACGCTACTCTACCCCCCACAAGTACAGTGTGGTGAATGCAGTACTTGATTCCTCGTAAATGTGCAATCTATTTGGCGTTTGAACATCTTAAAACACAACTCCGGTTTCATTGCCAGAAAGGCTAGAAACCTATTCTTATTTTTCCATGAAATAGAAAGAAAACCCAGGTGAGTTCGTAGCTGGATAGGTGAATGGGAAGGCAGCGGCGTGCTGGGTGCGTGGAGACAGCGTGGCGCTTGTGATATTTATGAACACCGCTGGCAAGGAGTATACGACACGCAATGTTCTTTGTAACCAATTCCCAGAAGAGTTGGGAGAGGATGGGAGCAATCAGCTATATTCGTCTGATTTCTAATCGACAGTTTTTTTATTTTGTTATTTCGTGCGCGAAGTGTTTCTCCGTGTTACGTTACGGGTGGCAGGGGGGCACGCGCGGCTGGCTGGCTAATTAATTCGCAATTAACCGCGGTTATAGATTCTGGGAATTGTTCATCCCACGCTGCATCGGTGATCCCAGATCCGCTTGGCCCCCACAGTGAGACGCACGCGTCGCTGCGGCTCTCCCGGGGACAGGAGTCCACTCCGTCGGCCGCTCCGCTCGCCGGCCCCAACCACCGGGCCAGCCACCTCGCGCAGAGCGGCGCGGCCACGACACCGCAGCCCCCCCCCCCGTACCCCTCCTCCTCCTCCGCCGTCTCTCGACAGCAGCCACAGCTGGCGTGGCAGTGTCTAGGAGATGTTGACTACCTCGCCTGGTATGCAGGAGGTCGTGGGTTCGACACCGACCCTGACACTGCCTGCTGCTGTATATTTGGAGTCTGCGTCTCCCTATATCATCATCATCACGGTAGCTAGGAGATGTTAACTCCCTCGCCTGGTATGCAGGAGGTCGTGGGTTCGACACCGACCCTGACACTGCCTGCTGCTGTATATTTGGAGTCTGCCTGTCTCTCTCCTTCTCTCTCCCCCCGTGGTTGCGTTGATTTTTCTCCGGGTCCTCTGTGTTTTTCACCTCCGCATTTAGAATCGACATCACGCGTTTAGAGTCTTAGTCTGTTGCTATGAATTCCCACGCGATGATGATGAGCCACTTTGTCGAGCTATCGTCTGTGATAGCCGGAGTCGCTTCTGCAAACAGAGCTACGTAGCTCAGTGGGGCCTTAGGGGCCGTCCATAAATGACGTCACGCGATTTTGAACGATTTATTACCCCCCCCCCCCCTTCGTCACACGGGGTCACAAAAAGTCAGACCCCCCCCTCAAATATGACGTCACAAAGCTCTGCCCCCCCCCCAAAATAAAATATGCTTCAAATCGCTTTAAACTATTGTCATTGTAGTGCGTATTTAATGTGGCGCTGCACTCTGATGTTGCAGGAGAAAACATTTATTAAAAAGTATATTTAATTAAGTAGAATATGTTGTCTATATTTATTTAAAGTTTCGCATTTTGATGTGACGTCACATTTCTCAAACCCCCCCCCCCCCTCTCGTCACACATCGTCATAAATGTCTGACCCCCCCCCCCCCCAGATGCGTGACGTCATAAGATGTTGAAACACCGAGTCGAAACCTTTCGCAACGAATCCAGTACTGCATTGAACACACGGCACTTTGTGGTGAACATGTAAACAAACATGCTCTGGTGATAATAGATGGCATTGTCTTTAACACGGATTGGCCTACACCAGCAGCCTTCTTTAGGGCCTCATCTCACCACCAGTGCCCAAAGGCGAACCTACAAAGACAATGGCACTAAACATTTATTAAAAAACATTTATTAAAAGTCTATTTAATTAAGTAGAACGTGTTGCCTATATTTATTGAAAGTTTCGCATTTTGATGTGACGTCACATCTCTCACCCCCCCATCGTCACACATCGTCACACATCGTCACAAATGTCTGACCCTCCCCCCTAGGTGCGTGACGTCATTTATGGACGGCCCCTTACCTGGTTCAATAAAAAAATGTTTTAGTTTTCCAATGCGAGGCCACTTTGCGGCACCGCAGCGCGACCTTGTTTAAAATGACGGGGAGGGTGGGGGGGCACACAAAGACTTTGGGGGGTGGAGGGAGGTGGGGGGGGATTAGAGAGGGGGGTGGGGGGCTGGGGAGGGTGGCGGGGTGGGAGGGGGGAATGCACAGTCAATGTCAGACTCTAACCCAGTGGTTCACAACCTTTACCGCAGCCTGGCAACCCTTTGGTTGTCAATCGTTAAAAATGTTTACAATGTTCATAACTGCAGAGGGTTTGATGAAACAAAGTAGTTGCGTAACTGACGTGCCCCGTGCTTAATTTGTGTTTTCGATGATGTCACTTCAAAAAAAAATCCGGACATGTCTCGCACCCCCCTCCCCTCCAGAACATGCGTCTCGCGTGATGCACCCCGAGTTCAGTGCCGGATGAAGCGAGTGGGGGGCCTGTAGCCTTTGTTATAAAGGGGCCCTCAATAAATAAAAAATATTAAAACACAAATTTTATACTTGCACAGTCAAGTAATTGTATGTTTTCATGCGCTACACAGCCAGATAATACAATAGATCGCTAACCTTAAACAGCCAGTCGTTCATAAAAGTTGAAGGCAGTATAGTACTATAGTAATAGAGCAAGTGCAGAATCCATCTCGGAGGCATACTTAAGCGGTTGTTCTTTCGCTGTGTTTGTCCCCACCTGAAGACGGACGCTTGTGTTGCGCCCGAAACGTCGTGATTTAATTTAGTTGTTTTCATTTTAATTTATTTTATTTTTTACCTACGTGACTTTACCGAAAAAAACAAAAAGTATGGATCCTTGCAGTCACGAAAACTTCTAATCTAGAATCAAGTGCAGAATCACCAAACCGGAGTTGATAGCTTGAACGCATTTAGCGCGGGCCCTTGAAAGTGCGGGGCCCGTAGCATATGCAGCTACTTTTGCTACGAGGATAATCCGGCATTGCCCAGGTTAAGAATGATAGCCATGCACTGCTCTAATGAGATGTTAAACGCCGTGAGTGACCGTGCGATCTTCAGCTTCTCACCGCCGATGCCCGTGAAGGAATCGGCTGGGATGCCCCAGATTTGGCCCAATCACGCTCAGCTTTCGAGCAACACCTTTCTTTCGACTCAGCTGCAGTCGAGTCGAAATGTTGAGGGGAGGGGGTGGGAATAGCACAACCCGTCCCTGAGCTGTCCCAAACGCAACGTGACGGCTCACGTTGCCTTGGGCGGCCAAACAAAGACAGAGATCCCCCGTATAGCCTCGCCAAACTGTTGGGGCAAGTGCCATAAGCGAACACCTATGAAGGCCGGCACGGCACACGAGGGGGTCGTGGGCCAGCGCCACGCCCGGCCGCCTTTGTCTCCGAAGTGGCAATGTTTACACACCGCACCAGGTACTCATTTTAGGCTGAGTCGACCTAGGCGAGGCCCAGGACCGGCTTCAGATAATCGTCACTGGTGTTGGTCGTGAGCGGGAATCGAAC